GAGCATTTTATTTATCGCACTTTATTGGAGTACACTGAAGAAGGGTCGCAAATACTTGGTACAAATGGTAATAAATTTCCACTTATCCTGGCGATTTCAACATCAACTTCGTGGATAAAAATCAGAGCGGTTGACAACTTTTTTTTCGGAAAAATTGAATTTGAAAATGAATAATTATCCACAAGAATCCAAAACAAAATATTGACCACCATTAACGCGGTGTTTTCCAGATATTTAGAGGATATCAAGTCTCAAACTTACGTGTCTTATTTCAGTTACCATAAACAATGATAAAACTGATTAAAGATTTGAATGATAAAAATTCCTGAATAACCTACACGTATTGTAAGATAATAAAAATATTTTAAACGATATTAACTTATCACTTATTCAATAAAAGAAGAAAAAATAGTTTTCTTATCGGTCACCATGCTCAAAAAGTGTAACTTGAATTAATATGAAAGAAAAAAAATACTGCATAAATAAAAAATAAATAAATAGTTATAATTAAATAAATAAATAATATATATAAATGTTATGCAATATAGCTTTACAGCATTAGTTCCCGAGTGTCATAGGTTTTTTATTAAAAGTTTTCACTACTACTACCAGTATTGGTAAAAAGCTTTGGTGAAAGTGGGTTGTCAAGTACATAAACATTTTTTATGTAACTCTACACTTTGTGACTGTGAAGATTGTGGTTTGATTTTGGTATTATGTAAATATTTTACTTTAAATAAAATCGTCAGTACATATTTACTAGGGCTAGTCACTTATACAGGGAGGCTTTTCTAAGCGTATCCATTTTTTTTAATTAAATTCTAGACATAAATAAGGTTATATAAAAAATGGTAAATATTTTATATCACTCGTAAGTAATTAATTACATTAATTTGAACTTATCTCAAAACGTGCGTGATTTACACGCAAGCAACTCGTTTATTTTACGCACGATCATTCATAACTAACACGCACACAAGTTCGTGTGCGCGTGAACAGTAAAATTTAGGTATTTATGACTGACAACTGTGTTGTCAACAAGTTCTGTTTTTTAGGGAATAGAATGGTAATTTTTTGAAAAAAAAAAAAAGTTTGTTTTTATTTCAATAAACGATTATACTACCGAGTCTGAACCTCCTGTGTAAATTTGGGCACCTTTAAAAAAGCCACCCTGTATATGAACATTAACCTAGGATGTTGTCATTTTTATTGTAGGTTCCTACTAATATAAGAAAACGATTTGCCAAATTTCAACCGTCGTAAATGGATAGTTTTGGCGATATTAATTGTAGAACTATTGGTCGCATTGTATTGAAAAAGACGACATTGATCACCTCAGACTATTTTGGCATAGAGTACAACATACGTGTAAAATGTTCAGCGAACAAAGCACACATGATAATATTAAAAACAATGAACTTAAATTTAGAACCTTTGCAGTGGCGAACTAACCGGAGGGCGGAAGGGGCGGTCCACCCCGGGTCTGGGGGGCCCCCAAACGGCTTCCTGTTTCCTTGAAAAAATCCTAAACAAGACTTAAAAATTATGCGTAGTACCTATCTAAGAGATTAGAGTTTGGAGGTCCCAAAAATATATTTTTTTTTTCAGATAAAAACGTAAATAAAATCATATAATCGGGGCGTAGCTAACGCTGTGTCAGTCGTATCAATGATACGGGGTTCCCGAGCAGGGGAGAAACGGGTGAAAGCAAAAATTCCACAATAACTTAAATTCTTAAGTCGTACTTCCCGGGAAAAATAAATGATAACTTATACAATATCATCTATGGACTCATTCTCCTACATGAAAAATAAAGTCATACATGAGTTTTGATCATGTTTGCCCAGTAATGGCCAGATGTAATGTTAAAATTACTTTGGCATCATCACATCATGTAATCTACCTTTAACAGGCCATTATATGTGACTGGCCCATTCAAAATGAAATTGATAATGTTAATGCTATAGTCGATTAACGCAGTTTGAGAAAAATCTAATATATAAAATTCTCGTGTCACGGTGTTTGTAATTTAACTCCTCCGAAACGGCGCGACTGATTTTCGCCAGGGTAGAGAATCGGACAACATCTATTTTTCATTCCCCTAAATGTTAAGGGTGGCCCACCCCAAACATTTTTTTCTACCCTACAAATATTTTATATGGCAAAACAACGTTTGCCGGGACAGCTAGTATTGTTTTTAAATTAAAAAAAAGCTCAATTACTAGCAATTATTTCGGATACAGTAGAGGCTACATTTGGATTTGAAGGCCCTTCTAGGGCAATCTACGCCACTGCTACTAATCTTTATAAAGTCTATATTGTTTTAGTTCCAGAAACTTATTTAAGTCCAATTTAAATTTTACTTACAAGATTTTAACTAAATAAACATAAACACTATGCATAAGTGTTTGATAATGCAAATGTCAAGTGATTAAAAAGCTTGTTTATTGGATCGATTCCTCAAATTAGGGGTCTCATTCAGCTTTACCGCTCCGGGCCTCTGAAGGCCTTAGTCCGCCACTGCGACTTTGTCAACATTGACACAACCTGTTCTTAGTCTGTCCTAACCCTAGTGTTTTAGAGCCCGGAGGCGCGGAAGGAGGGCAGCTCCCGCCTGCCGTGATTGCCTGTGACTTTGTTACGCCAAGGCGAAGGTTCTGAACTGACTGAATAAATACTGGTTCTTATTCCCCTGCCCTTTGCTCCCTGAAAAATAGGTACAACAAAGTAAGGTTTCAATTTAACAAAAAAAAATGCGACCGAGACTACTATGTCACTCCTCAATTTTTTTGGTCCAGTTATGTATTTACTTCCAAGGTTCTGTTAAGTACCTAACGGTAGGTACGCGGACGCATATCTTTATATTAATAAGTAACGTAAAAGTATACAATTACCTTATTTACACGACTTTCTTAAATGGAAATCTTGCAAAAAAACTTTTCTTCAATACAGGATTCTTACACCACAAATATCAAAAATTTGAAATTTGTGGTGTAAAAGAATCCTGTATGAGGTATTGTTGAACAGTTGGCGCGTGTATTTCAGGTGTTGAGACGTAATCTTTTCAATAATGCCACGAGAAATGAACTGAATCAAAATACAAAAGTTTATACAATAACAAGGAAGGAACTAAATTAAACAACACAATCTCCAAAGCAGTTGACATTCGGAAGCTTTATAAAATGCTTATTTTATAAAGCTTCCATTTTTCCAATAATTTAATAAATTAAGTTGCCAATAACAATTATTTGGATGTCCAATTCATGTTATTTAAAAGGAAGGTGTTTAATATGTTATCCACCGAATATTAAATACTTTTTTCATACGGCTTTCATATTTTTGGTTCGTGTAGTTGAGATTTGAGAAAATGGTCTAGGTTCATACATTTCAATTTTTGTATAAAGTTTCCACCCACTGCCCATGGCTCAAGTAACCGTTTAGCTTTATATTAGAGAAATATTAATTATTTGATAATTAATATTTAACTCAACGTTTTCGGTTGAATGCCTACGATCCGAAAAAAAGTTTCACTTTCATCGTTGTTTCATAAATACTTTACAATTCTCGACGTTTTAATATAACTTTAAATGCTGTATAACATTTTGTAACCATTTGTTGTTTTTGATTTGTTTCAAATTAACATTTTAAAACACGCGTCCGAGTTATCGATATTTGAATTTCTATTCTTTTCATTAAATTTGTGTCTGTATAATATCTACTCTGTTCGTTCATATGTTGTTCGCCCTCGCCTAGTGATGGCAAGTAAAAAAATATATATCGATATTTTTAAAAACTATCGAGTGAAAAATCGATATATCGATTTTTTTGCTATTTATATTTCCGAATGTTAAGATACAATCTTTATTGATCTAATATTTACAAGAGTAAATCTATCTAAAATTACATATTATCTAATAAACCTAATCCACGCGGCATGGTGCCAAGAACGCTAGCTGCATTTCCACGCTGAATAGTTATGCTTAACCTTTGAGCCAGAAAAGAACCAGCTCTCTTGTCACCAGCCGCGGCGTTAGCCTATTTCCAAACCATTCAAAATTCATTCAAAGAATAGACATGAAGAAAAAAGTAATATTTATTAGTAATCGACTCAATCACATATAATTTATTCGAACCAATAATCATCTGAAAGGGACATTAGGAGCACCCTCTGTTTAATATGCTTCCCTGTCAAACGGCTTCTATTGTTCGGTACTGTCAGATTCACAGGTGAACCAACTCTTTCTGAGGACGCCGCAGAAGCCTGGCAAATTAGATACTTAACGATTTTTAAATTTCACTTCTTTTTAAGGTGTTTTTTTTGAGATTTATTAATTTTTAGTTGTATAAAATTGTAAAATATTAATCAATCAGACGATTTGGAACTCATTGAACGTCGCAGCGTTAAATAAAATCGTGGAAACTGACATAAGTATCACGCTAAACTTCTCATGATACTGAAGTTATAATATTTGAAACTTTTTCCAACGATAAATTTTAAAAGGAAATATATAAAAAATTGTACTTAGAGTTTTTTAATTTCTACATTTGCAAATTTTTTCTTTTTTTTTGATTTGTTAAAAAAAAAGATTTGAAAATTGTTAATTGTTCGTTATAATCAGGGTCTTATTACCAGGCCATATAATCTTTATTAAAAAAATATTTATTATCGTGCACGCATCTAGTAACACAACACCAAATCAGAGTTGCGTTAAAAAATATATCGAAATAGATACAAATTCGATAGTCGAAAATAAATAGCGAATATCGATATATCGGGAATAAAAATATCGATGTATCGATATTTATTTGGAAAAATATCGATATTTTCTACCCATGCCTGCGTTCGCCATTGTCAAAATGGCTGAATTTTCTAATTGTAGCTGAAGTTCGATGTTGTATTAATAAAGTTTGATAACATATCTTTATTAAGTTGTATACCCTAGTTGTTTATATCTATAAGTTCATGTGTATCAATCAGTGAATATTTGTGGTGTTGACAGCCAATTCTACAATGAGCGAAACCGCCAGTGAGAATTCTGTAGATTCTGAAAAGCCGGTACAACTTCCTGACGATGTTATATTCCCGCCTTTCCCAGGTATGTCTTTTTAATGTTTCTTATATTGTACCGTAAATTTTTATAGTTATCGAAAAAGTTTTCAGATCAAATTTCTTGATTGGATATAAAAATAATTGATAACACAACATAATATCTCCTCTCATATAAAATTTTGATAAAATCCTAAAGTTTAACTAAGGATGATAAAAAATACAATGCGTTATTCATTAAACCTACGTTATAGATAAAAAAAATTGTTGTTGAATGCCTGCCCATAAATATTTATGAAGGAATCTGTAATGAAATATGTTTTTTGTTATAAAACTTTACAAAAATAAATAGTAACAACTTATACATATACTAGTTGGTTAACTTAACTTTTTTACCTTTCTGTTTAAATCTGTGATGAAATTAAAATTAAGTTGATTGAAAATGGTTTTCTGTAAGCACTGAATTTAAGGGTGAAAAGCAATAACGAAGTAATTGTTTCATAACAAATATAGATTGAGTTAAGTTAATGAATAAAAAAAACTAAGCCCTGATATCATGCTTAGATAGCTAAAACTGACTGTAGCTTTTATAGTTAAATTTGTTATTTTATGATTTTATTGATATAATATGGTGTATATACATTTAATTTTAAACTTCTTGTAATTAAAAAAATATTTTTTTCACAGAGCCTACAGATGACGATTTTGAGGAAGATATTACTGAAGAGGAAAGGAATTATTATAGGGATAAGTTTAAAGGTAATGAACCATTACATTTTCAGATGAATAATAATGGGAAAACATCTTCAAAGTTTGTTAATATTTAATTATTATTGTGAGAATGAAAGAAAAAATGAGTGAAAAAGAAAGAAGTGCGACCTAACACAAATATTATTTGGTAGAGAAAAATCACTTTTGAAATAATAAACAAGCAGAATTCTCTGGTCCCTTAAAGTTTTTGAGAAAAATGAACATTTAAAACTTGATATTTTCACTATTTCAATAAGCCGTGATAGCTCAGTGACTGGGCGCTCGCCTTTAATTCTATATACTCGAGCAACCTGAGTTCGATCCCCGGTGCTGGCACCAATGAAGCTTTTAACTTTAAGTGCTGTCTTATCACGTGCTCCGCGGTGAAGGAAAACATTGTGAGGAAACCTGCATATTTTCGAAATAATAAGCAAAAAAATATTTCGAAGATATGTGAAGTCCGCCAATCCGCAGTGGGGCCGCGTGGTGGACAATGCCCTGACACCCTCTATATAGAGGAGGCCTTTGCCCAGCAGTGGGACATGTATAGGCTGTTACTTTTTTAATATTTTCACTAAGAAAGTGTCACAACCTAACACCACTAAAAACTACTAAAAACTGTGAAGTAACGAAAGTTATAAATATTACCATCAAATTATATAAACTGTAGTAACATATTGCAACCCATGGAAAGTCCTAATGCCAATTTTAATAAGGATGGGTACTATGTAGAAGCATGAATACTTCTACATTACACTGGTCTTCTAAGAGAATATAAAATTTTCCTGAATTTGCTGGCATTGTTGCCCTCTACCTAACTTTTACTATACTATAGTAAAGTAATTAATTAATGTTAATGCAATGCTGTCTTTTCAGATTTAAATACTATAAAAACTCAGCGGTTACATTGCTCTGCTTGTGATAGACATCTAGGCTGTGCGACACGTAATGAATCACGTATGCGTCCACATCCTATGCTCAGAACCCTTGTATGTCATACTTGCCATACTTTTTACAATAGTGGAGAATTTGAAAAGGGCGATGACGGTTCGGAGCTCTACTGTCGATGGTGTGGCCAGGGTGGTCAAGTTTATTGCTGTTCCGATTGCCCCCATGTGTTTTGTGCGGTAATTGTTTATTTTTTTTATATAGTAAGGTACATTCAAATATACCTATTAGGAAATCATGATTTGTTATATTGATGTATAATTAAAGTTTATAAATTCTGACTACAACAAATCGAAATAAGTTTCATACATAACATTTTTACTGTAAAGTCAATGATGCTGTAGTAATTCATAAGCAGTGCATGTTAATATTATTATAACATTCCATACATCATCTTTATTTGATAAATGTCTTTTTTATGTCTTCATTTAATTTCTTTTTCAGAGATGTATTAGAAGAAATTTAGGCACTCCTAAAATTAAAGAAATAGAGCAAGCTGATGATTGGAAATGTTTTAAATGCAATCCAAAATGTTTATGGGATCTCCGCGCTATCTGCTGGGCCGTTTTGCGCTATTGTGATCAGAAAAACAAGTAAAAATGTTATTTTTCTCATTATATCCCTTAAGTTTAATGAATGTTGTTTGTGATATTATTTTTTAATGATGGGGTTTTAGCTGCTTTTGTGCTCTTTGACATATTGATTTTACTGTCCTAATATTAGCAAAAAATTAATGTTGGACAATGAAACCATAATGAATCTTTGCTTTACTCTTTCTATGCATTATAAAGGTTTTTCTAATAAACTTTATGAGTGAGTAAAGTTAAACAGAAAGACTTGAGTAGAGTTATAAGATTTATCTTGCTAAGAATTCTTAATTTTGTGTGTGTGTAATGATTAAGAATATAATTACTCAACAAACAAATATTTCAGAATTGCATACAACACTCAAGATCCTGAGTTAAAAGAGACTTATCAAAAGGACTGTGCAGTAGATTATTCCGAATGCTGTAAAAATAAAACAAGAAGGAAAGAGAAACCAGAAGTTATTAAAAAGAAAGAAGCTGAAACAGCAGCCAAGAAGACTACTGCATCAATAATATCAAAAATCTCTCCCGCCATTCAGGTTTGATTGCGTTTTATTTTTTTTTTATTTTATTACTCAAAAAGCTGCCCACCCTAATGCTCTATCCATTTCAAGGTGAAAAAATTTGCATCCATTAACCCCGATGACAGACAGGAGAGAAAACCACAAAAGAGGCCTGCAAGCCCAAAAAACAAGACGATATTCATAAAGAATCCCATAGCAATCTCAGGCCCGAGCAGTTTGAACCCCATGAACCTGCCTACTCCGCAACCGAAGAAAATACGGGTATGACAACATAAAACTTATACATTTCCACAGTCTTTCATGCTTACATTTGTGTTTATTATTATAATGTTGAATCTTTTTAGATGACACCCCCTCCAATGATGAATACAGTTAGATTCAACAATGAAAGAAAACAAAATCCTGTTATAATCAGTCGGTTCAAACCAAAGCCATCTGGAATACCCATATTATCTCACAGTAATCAGTTTAACGGCTTCAATAATACAAGCACCTACAGTAATGTTGGTTCGAATGATAACATAAACTTATCTCTGGATAATTTAACACAGGTAAAATAAATCTTTGATCATGAAATATAAATATTGTTTTGTGGTTTGTATGATGCAGTAAAGTTATTGTAAAACTATGTCAACAAATGCATCAACAGGTAGTTGACCAAGCAAGTTTTGAAAGTATTGACAGATCTGACTGTCCTGATAGGTGGAAGACATAGCTCATATTATCTATCTATGTTCATTCAATATTATGCATATTCAAATGAAAACATAACATGAGGCACAAACCATTATTGTAAAATAATAAAGTGAAAAGAGTCTATTGAATTTAAATCCGTTACAAACACTTATGAATATCAAAATCTTAGTTCAATAAATTTAATTTTACATTCATCGGCCATACAACATTTTCAATGGCCAGGCTGCAAGAGCAGAGCATTACTTATTCCCTCACATTGTATACTTCAGATTATAGGCATTTCTGATTAAGGATTTGATCATCTTCCTAGAGTCTTGTTTGCTCTTAATCAAGCACAAACATCAGACAGTGATCTTCAATGAGGAACTCTATCCGGTAAAATGCCAAGAATTAAATGAAACATAACACTATAATGGAAGCACATTACATGTCGCCAATCATTGATAAAAATTGCAATAAAGGAATAATATTAGTCGAGATTTACGCGATCGAGTCGATGGTATCGACCGCTTTGTATTTGTATTTTCTGTGGGAGGAGTTCGTACTACAAATCTCAACAACCACTGGAACCAGTAAAGATGTATTGTAGTTTCCTTTAAATCTGTTGTTTGTCCCTTGGAAAACATTGCCCCTGTACTGTAAGATAACATTATGATAATAATGTCTAAGGGTGTTTTGCATGCATAAATTTCACGTGAACAATCAACCGCTTAGTGGCTAAAGCGTCTGGACTCGTAATCCGGAAGGCACAGGATAAAATTCGGGCAGCGGGTAAAAGCTTTTTTGGACAATTGTATCCACACCACAAGTGCACAGGATGGCCTAGAGTAGACTAGATTGAATTAAATGATTGAAATCCTCTCAGGGTCTGGATATGGCAGCCGTGGCGGCGATGTCGAGCGGCGCTCCGGACGATGACGTCGTGTGCACGCCGGACCTGCCGTTGGAGCCGCTATGCGAGGTGACTATGTCGCGACTTTTATGAACGGGGGGAAAGGAGAGGGGGGGGGGGGGGGCGTTTAGGACAACATATGATGACTTTCGTATGCTTTGACAACCTTTAAAAAAGTAGATCCCGGCTATCTCACTCGCCAGATGAAACGCGAAAGTTTAATAATTCCACTTCACGTCGGTCTTATGTGCGGCTTTGTTGCCCTCTAGATCAAGTCGAAGCTCGAAATGCTTTTCATTCCACACGACGCACAGATTCTCATTTTAGATATGCACCTAAAATTATATACGGCGTGCGGTGGCAACTTCACACGAATGCACAATTTGTTTTGTCCAAATCGTATTTCTATATTAATTTTTAAATAAACATAAAATCGACGCTATACCAATCGACATCTTAAAGGACATTAAAATGCGATTTTGAAATGCCTACAATTATGTAAAATGAACGTTTTTGAAGTTATATTTCTGGGCAGTAATTCAATGGTTGAGAGTGGAATTTAAATTACGCGTCGTGTGAGATGAAAAAAATAACGAAGTATACACGGGACTGAACCACGGGCGCCAAGCCCTTTGGGATCCTTTGGGAGGGTTCGCGGAACATCGTTAGTGCTCAACGGCGTGCATCCGACCCGCAGATGCTGGAGGAGAACGCGGACGACGACGTGCAGTGCATTACGCCGGGGCCGGTGGCGGCGCCCAAGGCGGCGTCGCAGCTGGCGCTGGGCGCGCTGGGCGCCATGGGCGCGATGGGGCCGATGGGGGCGCTGGCCCAGCTGGCGCCGCTGCCGCCGCTGGCGCCGCGCGCCCTCCACGCGGTGCCAGACCTCACGCCCGAGAACATCGTGCAGATGACCGAGAACGACGTGACCGTCAACGCGGCCACCGGCGGCCTCAAGTTCCGCGTCGACCCGCAGACGCTCTCCTCCAACAAGATGTACCGGCTGCCCGACGGGCGCGTGTTCGCCATCAACGCCAACCCCGCCATGCCGGGCGGCTACTCGGCCACCATAGTGGCCGTCACCGAGACGGCGCCCGGCCGCGCGGGCGGCGCGCCCAAGGGCGCCACCTACGCGGCCAAGCTGAGCGCCGTGGGCTCGCCGCCGGCGGCCGGCCCGCCGCCGCTCAAGAGCTACGGCGCCAAGGCCAAGCCAAGGGCCTCGCCGCGGGCCAAGGTGCACCGCGGCACCGACGCCTCCGCCAGGGAGTGCGACCTCAGCGTGCCCGTCGAGTGGTTCCGCTACAACCTGATCGACGCCGTCGACGCGCTCGAGTACTCGCTCTCCAGGCTGCACAAGCTCAAGAAGGAGGCCACCACCATGTACCTGAGGACGCGCTCGCTCGGCGAGATGCGCAACCTGCACAGGAGCCTCGACCGCCTGCTGAGCACCTCCGTGGCCAGGTTCAACGAGGTGCGCGACAACATCGGCAAGGAGATGAAGCAGTACGTCTCCGAGAAGATGGGCCTCGCGAACAACAACAACAACAACACGAGCGAGGACGACGACGACGTCGAAATACTGCCCGACATGGAGGAGAACGACGATCCCATCTTCATTGACGAGAACTCGGTGGAGTCGAGCGCCATAGAGAGCCAGGAGGTGGACCTGACCGGGGCGAGCGAGCACAACAACAGCTCGGACAAGTCGATGGACAGGGCGGACAGCGCCGGGAACATTACCGCCGACTGCCTCAACATGGACGCGGAGGACGCGAACATTGTTTCGGCCGACGTTTCGATTAGTAACTTCGCCGCATTCAGCAAGGAGCTATCCGGGCAGGCGGTGGACCACAACAACGACACGGTCGAGGAGAGTGGTGACAAGAACGAATCCGACGGCTCGGCGGCCAGCGGCTCCAAAGTAACAGAGAAGGAAGTGAACGGTGAACTGAGCGAGGCGTCCACCGATCCCAGCGCAGCGAGCGGAGAACAGAGTATCGGCAGCCCTTTGAAATCGGACGACACGACGACGCGACGGAAACACCACGACGATAAAGCGGTTACTGAAGAAGCGGCCCCGAACAAGGTGGAAACAGAAGCGACGGAATAGCGGAATACGGTGCTTCCCAGCCCCCATCGTCGTGTCTCGTAAATATCTTGTACATAAATATAAGTAGCGTTTAGACGTATGTTACGTTGAATGATAGTTTTTAAAGCGTAAATTACTTCTAAGCTTAAATATGTAACTACTCGAACAGATAATTGACCCAATGGTATGATGCAAATAAGTGCAATTGTGTCCTTTGAGTAGAAATCTAGCCCCGATAAGTAGATGGAAATATATGATTTATAGTAACAAAAATTTATTACTGTTTCTAGCAAAGTAGTTAATATCAAATTGGAAAATAATTTTAGTAGGTTATGTAAGTCACGCCAATATGTCATATGTAACATGTTTGCACTCCGTAAGTATATTTTATTATTAATAGTATCAATTTATTTCTTTATCCATATATACCTTTAAAACTAAGCATTTATAATTTGATTAAAATTAATCTTTAAACTTCACCGATAAAATAATAAAAGTAAAATAAAAGGCTTTATTAAACAAAATCTTTATCTTCATTGGTAGAAACAAGAGCAAAGAATTTTATTGTGTCCTACATTTTTTTTTCTTACAGTAAACAAATATGACAATATTTGTTGTAACGTTCGTCATTTTACTGATACAAAACATTGCAATTACTCAAAGGACAAATTAATTTAGGTAGCTAAAAGATTAATAAACAATTTCTTCAATTTATCATACATGTTTTGTTAAAACAATGACAACCTTGTAAAGCTGTAGAGTGGTGCCGGTAAACGATTGGAAGTTATTGGTTATTATTTAATTTATGAATTTTTAACAAAAATGTTGGGTTTAGCATTTCATTATTACATAGCCTGATGGAATATGTTACTTGTATTAGTTTATATTGTTTCTATTTTTTTTTTCCTATAAATATTTTGTGAAATCTCCACTAAAATGAATATTATAATTATCTTATATGTTATAAAGCACTCATGCCCCGGAAATTTCCAATAAAATATAATTCAGTATATTTATCTGCACTCTATGTCTGAGAAATAAATTTAGATTGAACGCACATTTAATTGCTTTTGAGAAAAGGCATTTATGAATTTGAACTGAAGTAACAGTAACAAATTGAATCATTGATTATATATTTCCAAAATGTAGAGTCCTCCAATACTAAATTAATAATAAATTCTAATTCCAATAATAAATTATAAATCTGTAGGCCATGATTACTTATATATACAATAAAGTATTAATGTAGAAAAACAACTTTAATGTATATGTATATATCTGTATATACACTTTTATGGTATTTCAAACATGATTAAAATATGTATAAATATGTTTTTTTTATAATTCTGGGCGCATAAGGTTTACAAAATATATTCAATAGAATTTCAGTATCTTAAGTTGATATCTATCTAAGAAAAAAGTAAATTATAAACCCGCTTTAGCTAAGAACTGAAAACATCTACTTGAATCCTCTCTTTAAACTGCGATGGTTCATGTGGTTGTTGGAACACAAATTATTTCTAGACTAATATAGAAACACCTTATATTACTTTCAAACCTGACAGAAGCAATGAAGATATTGTAAAAGCGAATCAATCCAAGGAATTTTAAACTAAATTTAAAGATCTGTGTACATAAAAAAGTTTTTAAGCTGACAAAGTATTTGGCGGATTATACCAAGTACATTATGAGGACAGTGACCCTGTATCGATCTCTATTTGGAAATGTTTTTCGTAAGAGTTTGTAAATGTGTTCTGTATTGGTAAATTGTGGCCAAAATGTATGGCGACAAGCCTCAATTTATATTGCCCTGGAACGGAATGGAAATTAATTTTTGTACCGAAATTGCACGTAATTTATAATTAGTTTTATGTCAATAAAATACAAAATAGTGTTCGTGTATTTGCGGATAATTATCGCGCATTCTCGAGGGTCCCCATTACTGCTGTGGAATCGTCTGGAAGTGGCAAGAAATCCGTTAGAAGAGACACTAAAAATCTGAACGTCCTCTATGATTTCTTCCATAATTTTAAGGTACATACGCGAGAATTCTCGAATTGTCTATCATGACCGAGACAGTTGACGAAATCGACACTTCCGTTCCATTCCGTTACGCGTGCATTTGCATTGCAGGAGTTTGTTGTCTTGCCGAGGTTGAAACATTAGTTGATTTGAATTTAAAAGTGGGGTTTCAAAGAAGATTTCTCCGTTTCATATATAGTACCTAGTGTATAAGACAAAAGTTAGGAATGTGTGCATTTGGGATGTATGTGGACAGAGGTGGCCAGAGCTTTCCGTTGAGATAAAAAGATTTTTTCACATTGAAATGTGATAAGAAGAAAGTCATCATATTGTGATAAAACAATATGGTTTTTGAAAAATACAAGGTGGTATGACACATAGCCTTTTTATTTCAATCCTCATTTAACTAACGTCAAGTGAATCGGTTCTTTGAGTTTTCCTTTTGTTTTTATTTATTGAGTTAAATACACACTCAACAATATCAAAGGATACAATTGTATTACTAGTTAGTCAAGTATTTCCCTTGTATATGACATGCATATTTAAAGGTGTATACAAAAACTCGTAAAAACTACATAGCGTTTTTTTCTTATTCACCAAACCATTGTTCATTATAAAGAAGCATAAAAATTCGGCCAAGTGCGAGTTGGACTCTCGCACGAACGATTCCGTTCCATTATGTATAAAAATGCAGATACGTTGCCAATCATTAAAAACGGGCCCCATTCACCTCACTCACCAAACGAAACGCAAAAGTGTAATAAGTTACGCGTCGGTCTACTGCGAGGCTGTGGTACTTCCCCGGACGAGCCTGCCCAATCCTGTAATCGAAGTCATGGGCCCAGGTGCATTCGATTGGGCTGGTAACCGTCGTACAATAAGAAATAACGTTTTTAGGGTTCCGTACCCACGGGGTATAACGGGACCCCATTACGAAGACTGCTGTCTGTCCATCTGTCACCAGGCTATCTCGAACCGTGATAGTCACAGATGATGTATTTCTGTTGCCGCTTTAATAACAAATATAAAAAGCAAATAAGAAAATATTTAAGTGGGGCTTCCCATACAATAAACACGATTTTCTTGCAGTTTTTATGGATAATGGTACGAAACCCTTTGTCAGCGAGTCCGATTATTACTTGGCCGGTTTTTATATAGATATTAATAGACTGGCGAGTAGACTTAGCTCAGCAGCTTTCGCGGTCAAAAAAATAAGACAGTTAACTGATGTTGATACGGCTCGCTTGGTATATTTTAGTCATTTTCACAGTATAATGTCTTATGGCATTCTGCTTTGGGGTAACGCGGCCGACATTAATACAATCTTTATCTTACAAAAGAGAGCTATTCGTGCAGTTTACAATCTGGGCCCCAAAGAATCGTTAAGAAACTTGTTTAAAGAGATAAAGGTATTGACTGTTGCTTCTCATGCATACATTTTTGAAAATGTTTTGTATGTCCATAAAAAAAGTATAAATTTTTAAGACATAATAATGTTAAATGATATAAATACTAGGAACAAAAATAAATTGATCCTACCCACAAGTAGACTGCGTAAAATAAGTAAATCTTTTATGGTACAATGTATACGTTACTACAACAAAATTCCAGAAAACGTTCAAAATGCATCAATAGCTAAATTTAAAAAAATAGTAAAAGAACGTTTGTGTGTTTAAAGGCTACTATAATATTAATGATTATTTAAATGATAACACACTCTGGTAATGAACTGATCGCTCCAGGCTCTTTCAATCGGAGTTCTTATATTGTATTTTTAATGAATTTATGTCAAACTGCTTACTTTAAAAAAAAAAAAAAAAAAAAGCCCGCTGAGTTTCTTTCGCCGGTTCTTCTCAGTACAGTGGCTTTCTTTTCCGAACCGGTGGTAGTGTTTTGACTATCAATAAGTGAGTGTAAGGCTCCTATGTTGAATAAATACATTTACGATTTTGATTTTGATTTTGATAGCTTTTTAAAAGTTTTTTTCCAAGATTTGACTATGGTACTAGAATAAATAATGAAATAGTACGGTTTCAATTAAATTTAAGTTTAAAGTAATTGCAGTTATTTATTTGTCGTCTAATATTTTAAAACTTTGTATTTTCGACGTGTAACATCTTTCCTCTTGGTTAACTGCAATCATGCTAACATCTCGACCATATCTGTGCTGGCTGCGATCTGATGAAAAGAGACTTATCTAGCATCAGTTTATAACAGGTTAATAGGAGACTGGGAAAGAATTAGTATTTGTTCTTAAAATTATATGAGACAAAAATTTGTTTTAAGGCTGTGGAGGCCAGTCTAATATTAATATAATAATCTATAACATTATCCTGTTGTATAAGGATATTTTAAACAAACACAAATTTCACGTGGACAAACACCGAGATGTGGAACAATACACTCAAATAGATGTCTCGTGTGGGGATCGAACCTACGATCCCCGACGCCGAAGCCAATACCTTGGCAACTGCGCCACGGAGTCATCAATTTGAGAAAAGTGTTATTCGTTATTGAAAAGATAACAAACAAATCTTTATTTTCTACGCAATAGCTTGTGGATTCTCATTCCCAATCAATTGCTAATATTTCAGCAATATCTTAATCTCCATCTGCTTTTAATTTTAAAATATGTGCATGAGATAGTTCGTGCATAGACATTGTTGTCACATTATGTTCTCCACGTCTCTTGTTTTGCTTATGACCTGAATATGTACTGCTATATGAGCCAAAAATATTCTCTTAGGCTGTCTTCTTACCCTCTCGTACAATGTCACAGAAAAACTCGTTGCAAAGTGGAAAGTACCGTTACCAAACTTATAAATTTGGTAAAGGTAAATCTTTGATTAAAAGAATTCATATTTCATTACGCAAAACCGCCCTTGGTACAGTTTAGAAGCCCCGCCCATCACGGTAAAATTTTCGTTATGCCATTTCGGAAAGATCATAGCTTAAGATCATGCTTCTATGTTTTGACTGGACAAAATTATCTTTTCGAATCGAAAATACGAAATTGAAAAAAGTATAGAAATTGGGTTAGTGAAAAAATTGTACAACAAAAGTATTATATAAGTTAATTTATATAATACCTTTGTTGTACATACATGTTTATATAAGTTAATTTCAGGTATGTTTGCATAATCCTTAAGCCCGTACTACGGTAAACTACCGTGAGGCGTGAAGTATTACAATTTCGCATTTCGTCTGGTGGTTGAGGTGCCCGGGGCGAACTTTTTTAAAGATGCTTTGATAAAGCATCTACAACCCCTTAGGTGTTATAAATGTCAAGTATAAATAGTTTATTCATCGTATGTTCTTGAGAGTTCGTCGTTAAGAAATGGGTAAGGCTCGAGAACAATAACTAAAATGCACGAAAGCTTATTACGTATCTATAGTTTATTTAAATTAAAATGTCCTTAGAAACAAATTTTACATTATACAAATGCTTTGAAGGCATTCGCCGAATGGCTCGAAACAAACTGATCGAATCGGAAACATTAGAAAATTACGATATCACAATTCTGCATGTCGATACCTTAATTGGCAAACAAGCTAACTCCATATGGGCAATTTTACAGGAGGCACTTAAAACTGTATAATATTATTTTTAGACTACTTATGAGAAAATCTAAAATATAGTGGGTAGATATTATCGTAAATTGTCATTTTTGATATTATAAAATCCATTATACATTTTCATTACCATACTACAGCGTTTTTTAGGAGTTATCCGTTTTTTCTTTCGTGCAAAAGTATGTGATCTGGGAGTTAGCTGGTTTTCTTGATAGATTTATTTTAAATAAAAACTTTCTTTTTCTTTTCAAGTGTACAGCCAAAGCGTCGTAGGGTTTTAAAAATTGGTATTAAGAACCAGAAAAGAGTCAGGTTTATTGGTATCATCAAATTTAATTTAATTTTCTAATATCTGTTGTCATCTTCTTATTAATAGTAATTCTATTGCTAGAATTACTTTATCAACTAAGAAATTGGTTAAAATCGTTGCAAACTAATCAGAACTCAGCCTTTGCCTCTCTCCCTCTCTAGTTTTCATATCATAAATACACACGTTTTGAAGGGTGGTATATAAAAGCATTAACTTTTTTACATTTTTAAGGGTCTTTCCTATCTCTTTGCCTAATTGTACCTAAAATTTTTATTAAACTATCAACGTAAATTCGTGTTTTGTGCCGTCATATTTAAAAATTTATCAAATAATATTTTTCCGTCATCTTCAGAAATATTATGACATTGGATAACACTATTTCTCTTTTACTTACAGTAGTCTAGTTTCATGATTTTTTAGTAGTTTCTGTATCAAAGGAACGGCCTAATCGCTATCCGATTTATCATTACTTGTAGAGAGGTGAGCTGGCTTAAACTTAGAGGCATTTTCAAGATTGTATTTAAGTGATGTTGTAAGGTGACCAGATAGCAAACTTGGACTGAATTGTTCTTTATCAAACGGAAATATGTCTTCATTAACAACAATTTCATATGTTTGCGCATACTCCATGGCAGACAGTTCATTTCCAATACAATAGATATTGTTATCAAATCATCATCATCATCATTTCAGCCTGTTTGAGTCCACTGCAGAACAAAGACCAATCGAAAAAGCTCTTGTTTACAATTAAGAGGCGCAGCTTCCCAGCAGAGCGGCCCGACCGGTAGACGCCATCGCCCAATAACTTCGCACGCTATAAAGCCACACCGTGCTAATTATTTTCGCAATATAAATTACTCCAAATAGACATAATTAAAACCACTCGGTTTAATAACAAAAATCAATTGGTCTCTCCCATAGACTGCCACGAAGTAAGATCCTGAGCCACCTGTATCCATCGATTTCCCGCACACTTGCACAAATAAATTCGATGAATTAGAAGCTACGCTATCATGCCCAACCAAAGCGTCGTACGGTTTTGAAAGTTGGTTATTAAGAACCAGAAAAGAGTCAGGTTTATTGGTATCATCAAATTTAATTTAAATTTTTAATAAACTTTAAAATGTATAACATCCAACCGTAGCGTAATAAAGTAAGAAGCAAGCCGGCCAACTCAAAGCCAATATTAAATTTTATAATTGCTCAATTACCTAGCAATGTTTTGTAAGAAATAAAATAAGTATCCATACTGTGTATTAATGTTCAATTGTTTTTCAACACTACCTTTCCTTTTGATGCGTTTATATAATTTTTTTTCCAAATAACGTAAGGCCGTAACCGAACATGACCCGGACGCCATACGAAATAGCCGAATTAGTGGAGTTGGCTGTTAAAATTGTAACGTTCCGTGACATGCGGAGTTGGCTAATTTGCGAATAGCGATTTATAGAAAGAAATAGTGATTTTATCGGAGTTATTGTTTTTGCAAATCAAGCGGAATTATTATTGCGTACAAACAAAGCCAAAAAATATTTTTGACCAAAGGTGAAGTTAGCTTGTTTGCCAATTAAGGTATCGATGTACTTAAATAAGATATTTTATTGATTAGTTAGTACATCGAAAGCGGTGCGTCGGACTTGAAGTGAATCAGTAGCGGAAATGCCCCTTCCGCGAACGCTCTTCGTGGTACACTCTCATGGGTGAGTACGAACCGTTGGAGGCGCCGTTCGCGCCTATACCTGTGGCACAGAACGTTTTAACATTAATACAGATAATATAAACGTGAGTTGAATAGCCATTAAAATAAGGAGGGTAGATGTAAGGGCCACACATATGGAACGGCTATAAAAATGTCTTTCAAATCCCTCAATGGCAGTAGAGCAGTAAGAGACTACTTTGTTCAATGGAATGGAACTAGTGATCATAATAAATGTTAGTTCCCACTTCACTATCACTGCCTAGTAGCCACTTGCTACAGTAGCGACACCAACCCCTTCTGTACCAAATATTCCATTTGCACCACAGATACTACAAATAGTGTAATGGAAGATAACTTGGTATGAATTACTTGCTGTTGAATAGTCAAAGTTGGATATGTTGCGTTAAATATAATTTTCACCGCGAACGCCTCGGCTTTTGGACTATGCACATACCTTTACCATTTAGTTGTCCGTCGACGGTGCTGGCTTTAAAATAAATTATACCCATTATAATATTTGATTATTTTTAATTATGAACGTTATCGGAAACATAGCACCAAAGACACTATAACGTTATTTGTCCAGTAGTGTTATGCTTAATATAGCGGATATTAAGCATTACACGTATCTTGTGTGGCGTGGTCCTTTTTTAAAGTAACGTCGTCAGAGGCCATTGCTGGGGCTAGTGCGTTTTCTGCTCACGGAATGTTCTGTCGTCTTTATACGTAGGGTCCACGGAGCGGTAGATGGCGTCGGGGTGCTCGGTATTTGTATTTTATGTAGAAGGGGTTGGGTAGTAAGTCCCAACAACCATTTCAAGCTATAAGATCTTTTGCAATCCTCCCTCCGTACATTACCCCCTTATTGCGTGACAAAATTAACCTGTGCTGTAAGGACGTTTTGCGTACACAAATTTCAAGTGGACACGAGATTCGAGACAACTATCAACGAAATCGAAATCAAAAAACAAGCAACGCCAGCTCGGGAGTGACCGCGCGGGGCACGGGTGCCAACTTAGGAGTTCTCTTGCTAAATTTAGTAAGGGAAGAATCACAACGCAAGTTCTTGGTCGCTAAACGTTTCTCGTTCGGGGTGTTTTGTTTGTGATCGGGGCGTCACCTTGCAGGAGGGCGCGCGGCGGGGCGGCGGGCGGCGCGGTGCAGCGCGGGGCCAGCACCAGGTGGTACAGCGCCAGGTACGCCGCCGCCACCAGCAGGGCGGCGACGCCGAGGGCCCGGTACGTGCCGCGGGCGGACGCCAGCGGCTCCTCCAGCCCCACCATCCCGCCCACTATGGCCCCGATGCACCGACCTGGCAACGTAGGCTTGTCTCAAGCACTTATTGAACGTCAAAAACTACCACCGCTTCACTAAACCCGCAAGAGAAGAACCGACCACCGCGACAATAAATCAAAACACGTCTAACGCTACTTGCCAATAATCATAAAAAAATATTAACGTTAAACAAAGTCCATAGTTAAAAAAGTATTTTTCAAAAAAAAGTAAAAAAGAAACAAAATTTGTAACATCCTATACAACTGACTGATTCATACATTCAGAGACTTTTTCATTCGTTGCCACAGCGCCGCATTACAAACTATTCCTTCTAACAGCATGTTTTGTCTCGTTTAAATTCATTCAATCCATTGATATGCTTTGTGACCTTTACAAATGATCTTTACATAACAGTTTTATAACGTGTATGCGTTTTGGAATCTTTGATAACTCGGTAATTATTGATGTTTAAAGAATGTAAATCTTTAATATAATTTTAAAAAGCTATCCTCTATATGTGTGTTCATTCATTGTCGTGATTGTAAAGACACGCTGTATATTTTTTATAATATATTTTTAAAAAATACATTAAATCAATAAACAAAAAAACATTACACACTACCATCTATAATTATGGCCGAATTTCGTCCAATGGGCGATCACTAGTGAAAATAAATACCGTTTATCAGAACTGGCGATGAGGTTATTTTTTTTAACTATGCATAAAAAATAATACATTAAATCGATGCAAAAAAAAAAACATTACACACACTACCACGTATAATTAATTATGGTCGAATTTAGACCAATGGGCGCGCGGAAGAAGTGAAACTGAGAGCCACGCATTCACTCTCGCTCTGTCTCTTTCCATTCCCCCTCCCCAAAAGCGTCGAACGTTTAACGCAACAGTGCTTCATACCCCCTCCGTGGTGGCGTTAAACGTTTAACGCAACCTTGCAAGTCGCATTAGAAGTTTCACCTCAATAGTTAGCCGTTTAACGAAGCTGGGACGCTCACCGACGCAGAAGTGCGCGATCACCGGCAGCGCCTGCCCCGTGGTGGTGTACTTCTTGGGCACCAGGTGGCGGAAGTAGAGCACGGCCGTCGCCCACACCAGGCTCAGCGTGAACACCTCCAGCAGCTCGCTCACCACCACCCACGCGTACGACGTGCTGAACGCCAAGCCTGGTGCGAATTGTGTATGGAAATATTTCCTGACGTTTTTTTCAGGTTATACTTTTGGCGCGTTTGGGAGAAATGTCAGAGTGAATTTTTACTGGCTCTCTCCTCGTCGTATCAACATCCAAACTGCTTATGGCAGTAAAGAAGATTTACATTGGTCAAGGACAGTGGCGCGTAGCGAGTACAGGTGACTGTTTATACTGGACTTAGTCCAGTGGCATTTCTCTGTAACAAGGACGAGTAATCAAGCGGAATCAAGATTGAATTTCGATTTTCTACATGTTTTAATGTTCAATCTTAAGTGCAGAGATTAGCATTATAAAAACTTTAAAATTTATAAAAAAGCAATGGCGACATCTCTCGTTCGAATTATCGTTGTAAAACGATATTCGAAATTGTTTGTATGCTGGAAAGGATATAACAATAGATGGCGCCAAGCATTGCTTCAAATGCTAAATAATAATGTAGAAAGAAGGCGTTAAGAATTTCGTCGCTGTGGTTATCAGCCGTTTAGCTCAGTGGCTAGAGCGTCAGGCCGCGAATGCCGAAGACGTGTGTTCGATTCCCACAGCGGCGACAATCTTTTCGTACTTTTTCTACATGTTTTAATGTATCTGTCTTTCTGTCTTAATGTTACGTCTTCAGCTAGCCTCATATATGCCTCGGATGGACTCCGACCGTTGTCAGAAGTGCTCACCCGTGTAGCGGAGGCTGTAGAAGGTGAAGGCGCCGATGAAGACGTTGGAGTGGCCCACGTAGTCGACGAGCGCCTCCGCCCAGAAGAGGGCGGGCAGCGCGGGCAGGGCGGCCGCCACGCGCGCCAGGCCCACATCCGGCACCGTCCCGTTCAGCGCCAGTATGGTCCTGGGCGGGGAACGCCACTCTTTTCTTCAGAAAGTGCCAAAAGAGAAAGATCCCGAAAGCGGGTCAGCGGTAAGGTCGAAGCAATGGAATTCTAAGTAACTAGTTGTTCTTTTCTACAAGAGAAGGTGCCAAAAGAACACCCGTTCAGAGCTAGCACGATCCCAAGTACAGGCCAAATAAGCTCAGCGGTAAAGTTTAAACCAATAGAATGACAGGTCGCGTCAAAGTCTTTTCTTGAAGACAAGGTAAAGAGCAAGTGGTTCACTTAACGTTAAATGATAACTGCTTGATGATGAAATCAACTTTTAAACAGAGTATGTCTTATTTCACTTACATATCATGGGATACAGAACCATATATGACATGGACTTGTGTGTGCTAAATGAAAAAAAAAAAAAGAAAAAGCTGGACAATAACTTGGTAACATCCTAAAAAATTGGCATTGGAACCGTGCACGTATGTGAATGAATATGATACTATGAGGAGAGTATCGTAGAGGGGGAGGATGGGAGCATTGCTTATGCAGCATGTCAGCTGTCCCTTACCAGGGGAGGTAGTAAAATTTACATTGGATGCGTATGCGTGTCTGAACTAATATGCGGGCCCGGGGGTATTATTGTGGCGTAGATATGATCATTGCGTATGCAGTGTGAGTTGGGCCTTATCAGGGGAGGTCGTAGAATTAGCATTGGATCCGTGTGTGTGTGAGTGAATGTGAGCTCGCGGAGTAAGTTGGAGGTAGCTCACCAGGGGAGGTAGGTGTCGATGCCGCTCCAGAGCGCGCCGAGCAGCACGAGCACGGCGAGCACGGCCGCCGTCTCGGCGCCGGCGCGTCTCACCGCGCTCAGCGGCACCGCCAGCGCGCCCGTGGCCGTGTGCCACCACCACTCGGGCGCCGACAGCGGCATCCCGCTGCCACCAACACGCTTGTACCACTCGCTACCTTCGACTGCGGCAGGGCCGCGCAACAACTCGCCGTTGCACGCCTTATACTTCTGCGTTTCGTCTGGTGAGTGAGGTAGCCGGGGCCCATTTTATTGAAAGGCGGCAACGGAACGGAAACCCTACGCTGGTTGTAGTAAATAATTGTAACCCGTTGCCGTAAAAAGTATTAACTGGATGTAGTAAAAACTAATAACGAACGCTCTGCTATCCTAAGCTGAGTCGACCAAGTGTGAATCGGACTCGCGCACGAAGGGGTTCCGTATGTCTTATCCGTATTGTATGGGAGTCGCACTTACATATTTTTTTATTCTGTTTATTAGTATTTATTGAATTTATATAGAATGACAGTTGAAATTCAACCGTCTATCACGGCTCCTGAAGGCAGTATAGCCTGGTGGCAGACGAAGAAAAAGACAGCGGAGACTTAGGAAGCCCAGAAAGGTAATGTGAACAAAGGAACCTGTCGACCAGAAGCACCGCCGCGCCCAGCGCCATGAAGAGCGCGTGCATCGCGAAGGGCACCGCGTACGGGGCGTCCGGGACCAGGTCCGCCGCCAGCGCGGCCAGCGGCGGGAAGAGCGCCAGGCCCAGCGTGCCGCAGGCCAGCTGGCGGCCCACGTCGCCGCGCCCCAGCGACGTCTCGCGGGTGGCGATCACGCACGCGGTGCCCAGCAGCGCCAGCGCCGCGGTGGGACAAACGTCCGCCAGCGCCCTGCCGACGCGGACGATCCAAGGTGAACAAATCGGGGATAACTCATTCAGACACCGGCAGTGTCCAGCGGTGCGAGGCATATGTCCGCGAGCGCCCTGCGAATGCCGACGGTCGAAGATACAATAGACCAACGAAAGCGTTTCGTTCGACCAGTGAGGTAATCGTGGATAACTGCTTTAGATAATGGCAGTGACCAGCAGTGCTAGCGTGGCGGTGGGCCATATGTCCGCGAGCGCCCTGTGAATGCCGATGGTCGAAGACTCAACAGTCCCAAGGCATGATCGTGAGATGGAACCGTAATAATTTTGCATAGTGACGTAGCCGGAGACTTCCCTTTTCAACATGCATTTGTAATCCTACTTGTATTGTAATAGCAATAAACGTAATGGCTTGTAACGTAACCTCTAAAAAGGTCTAAAAATATACAATCACGAGTCCGACTGCTCTCTATGCTGATGGTCGATATAAATTTCAAAATGACACGAACGAACTAAAGAGTTGCATATGGATTACAACCAACGTTGTCATCCAATCGTGTTCTAAGTGCATTTTAACATTTAGCCGGGTGTGCTAGATGTACCAGATGCTCTTAGGCCTTGGTTGATTCCCCGCACGGGCAGGAGGCAAATAGGCAACGGCGGATTACCTTAGTAAGAAGTAGACCCAGAAGGTGTAAGCGGGGTTGCCGATGACCAAGCGGCACTCCGCGTCGGAGAGGACGGCGTCCGGCTCGTCGTAGGGGTCCAAAACCTGACAGCGCACCGCCGGCCTGCACGGGACGTCGCGCGTGTGCACCTCCGCCAACCGCTCCTCGGGCACCCGGCATTGGAAGGGCCCGCCTGTCGGCAATGGAGCATTTCCGTCGGGATTTGTACTTTTGTGTGGAAGGGGTGGCCCCTTCGAAAACGTTGTCTTGTTACTGCAGATTAACATCATATTTTAAGGACTTGTGAAATGTGAAAAAAGTGAAATGTGAAAAGTTGCCAAGCTGAAAGGTTCACCTGATGTTAAGTGAATACCGCCGCCCGTGGACATTTGCTACACCCGAGGGTTGCAGATGCGTTGACTTTGTAAACTGGGCTAACGAAACGTGAAAGTCTCACGCTTCCACTTCACGCCAGTCTGCGAGGTCGCGGTACCTATCCGGACGCTGCCCGTTCGTGCACCAGCCGAGGCTGCTGCGTGGCCCTACCACGCTGTTGTTGCGTAAACGGTTGGTCGTTATACTGACGGTATCGGCACCAGCCGTCGTCGGTGGCGTTGGCGGCCTCCGTGCTGTTGGCAGCCGTGGCGTTGGCTGCGTCTGCTTCCAGGGCGAGCGGCACCCGGAGGCGGGCGGCGTGCTGCATGTACACCAGGCAGTGGCCGTCCGTGCACAGGTGGGGCGGGTTCACCTCGAAGTCGGCGCCGTCTTCGGCGTCCTCCTGGGGGGGCTCTGTCGACATCTGTCGACATCTGTCGGTGGCCAGGTCGCTTTAATTTCTTTTGAGTGGAGGGGGTTGGTTAGTAAGGTCCGAAGACAGTCTTGGAGGACTCTGTCGACGATCTGTCGGTGGCCAGGTCGCTTTAATTTCTTTTGTGTGGAAGGGGTTGGGTAGTAAGGTCCGAAGACAGTCTTGGGGGGCTCTGTCGACGTCTGTCGTCAGCCAAGTCGCTTTAATTTCTTTTGTGTGGAAGGGGTTGGGTAGTTAGGTCCGAAGACAGTCTTGGAGGGCTCTGTCGACGTCTGTCGGTGGCCAGGTCGCTATAATTTATTTTGTGTGGAAGGGGTTGGGTAGTAAGGTCCGAAGACAGTCTTGGGGGGCTCTGTCGACGTCTGTCGATGGCCAGGTCGCTTTCGTTTTTTTTTTACATTTTGTGTGGACTTGGTTTGGAACCTTCATGTTGTTGTTACAGTATAAAAATGGAAGATATATGAAGTCTAACAATTAAAATATAGGACATAGGGAATGGGAGATATATAGGATTTACGTTACTTTATCATATATCAACATAAAAAATTGATTGATGTCACCCACAAAAGGGGGTAGTAATCAACTAATAAGACATAACGTAACATTGCACAAAGATTGTTCAATAGAAAAGATTAACAATTTCAATAACAGTATAAATAGTGCAAAATAAGTGAATTATTATTTCAATCGTTTTTCTCGGAACCGCATAGATAAAATATCAACATTAAAATTATTGTATTATTCTTTTTTTATTTATTATATTTGTGGTTTCAGCACCTACATATGCCCGATGAACTTGTATGTGTATTTGTTTTTTTACTGACCTTTGTCATCGAAGGCTAAAAACATACAGTATTTCAGTCACGATAAAGTTATAAAACTTTATCGTGACTGAAATAGAACTTCTGGAATAATTGAAATATATACTCTTTAAATATATAACCTTTATAAAGGTTCATAAGGCAAAGAGTTGGCGGAAAAGGTCTATTCGGAGTGTGTGCCAGCTTCACAATACGCGGCCTAGTTGCTTATCGGGGAAAGCGTTTGCGATCGCTCGACGATACGTTTGCCGCGCTATGTAGAATCCGGCACATGCATAAACCTGCCTCCGTTAGTAATAATAATAGCATTCACTCAGTCCTAATGAATCCACATACCTAATAATAAAAAAACGAGTTTTCTATTTATTTTGTCCAAATTATTAAGAGATTTTTTATTGTACTTTCAAGTAGTTTTAGTTGTTAAGTCTCTTAAATGACACGTACCGTAATGATTTTGTGATAGTTTTATTAAACAATTCCATTTGTTTAAAACAAAAAAACTCGTATGAATATTTCATCGTAGTGATGGGACTTTATCGTCAATGCGTTGTTGTTTCGAATTTATAAAAAGAACAGTTATTAAAAACGGCGATCGTTTACTTCACAGTTTAATAATTCGGTTACTTAACTACTTTAAGCATGTCGCAAAGAATCACTTCGACTACATTTGCATCGTAAACACATTGTTACTTCGGATGTTGGCCGAGTTACGAAATTTTCCGAAAGTGCAATAGCTGCATATTATTTGTATCACCAAACGTTTTAGGTAACAAGAAATAAGATTGTTTATTGTAAGCGATTATATACAAGAAAGAGTATAAGACTGTCGCCAACGAAAATTTACACCGGTCTATTGTTTTTAACCGACTTCAAAAAGGGAGGAGGATCTAAATTGGCTTGTATTTTGTTGTTTGTTATCATAACTCCGTCATTTATGGACCGATTTTTTTTTTGCATTGGGTTAGGTTTAGCCTTTATTTGGTCCCTGTATTGATTTCATTTGAATTCGACCGTTTAATCCGGAGGTACGTCAGGAAACAAATATAAAATGTATATTGAGTGAGATATTTGAAGTCGTTTTTGTTTTGTATTTATAAAAACGTGCTTGTTTAAATTGTACAAACAGTTTATATATTTATATAATTATATCATTGTCTAATTTTTGAGACATGGCTCTATGTCATTATAAATATATTCACGATATTAAAGAAAAATCTTACCTTTACCGGTTTTTGTTCGACTTAAATTTTGACCATTTATTGAATCGATTTCCACGGAGAGTTCTTGTTTCTTTTAGTCGTGGACTCGTTACCAAGACTTTCAAATCTTAATAACTACATATCGATTATTGAAACGCCGGATAAAATCTAGATAGGATAGAATAAAAGAAGTAGGGGAACAAAATCGCTGGTGACAACAAACCTAGATAGGAGAGAATAGAAGAAAAAAGTGGAAGAAATCGCGGGTGACAACAATGCTGGGTGGACAACTCACGGTCACATTGGCCACGCTGTTGTACATGGGGCTTAACGTGGTGCTGGTGGACGTGGTGGTGAAGGGCTCCGTCAGCCAGGACATGTCCTCGTCAGCGCAGCCGTATTCGCAGGCGCCGACGGCTAGCACGCCTCTCTGGAATACAAAGTTATAACAAACTCACTTTTAACAGTCTTTTAGTACTACAATGCTTAGAGTCATAAAAAACTCTCGGCGCTCGGGAATCGAACCCACGTCCCGCAGAACCTTTCTTAACTAAGCTAATAAATAAAAAAAATCTCATTTTAAGTTTCATCTTGAGTACAGAGGCAAGCGGTAAAAATAAAATTAATTATAGGCCATAAAAAATCTCAAAATGACAATATATTTTCAATTTATTTGGAAAATTAATAGCAATACGATAGAAATATACAAGCATGTTGTGTGTGTACTGGGTTCGATTTCCACACGGGACAAGTATTTGTGTGACCCAGAGAAAAAAAAGTCCGGACTTGGGTGTTTATTCCCGAGTAGTGTTGATGTTCGATCGTTGGCATAAAAACTTTGCCAATACCAGGGCCAGATTTGGAGGTCTGGAGGCCTGTGGAGGCCCCTTGCCCCCAGATTATTTTCGGTTGCCCTCTCCTAAATCCGGCCCTGACCATTAACAACATTTACGGGTGCCGACTCCACCGAGGTGGGGTAGAGGCAAGCTAATATTGATCAAGCTGTAATTAGTGTAAACAACTACGGTTCACTAAAGTAGATCGGGCAGATGGAAGGAGCAGACAAGAAACTAAGCGAATTTGACCCAAAGGGGAGGTTACTAATTTTACCGTTTTGAGCAACGTTCGCGCATCAGGGGATGACGAATCCATTCATATGACACATGCGGAAACAAACATAATAGCTATGAATTATTCATGTTGCGTTAGATATTGAATTGTTTTACCATCGTAACAACTTCTATCGCCAGAGTTGAGGGATATCCGTTTCGCGCGATCCGAATCTCTTTTGCATCAAGTTGTTACTATAAAAATACAGTTAAAACTGTACGCAAACAGCTTTGAGAGAGCTTAATAAATCAACCCATCTGACATAACATTTATTTATTAACACGTTTATCTTTATTTCGATTAATGTAATATGACAGAAATAATAACTAAAATAATAGCTGAACTGAATTAATGAATGAATTTATTTTACCATTATTGTGTCATTGGCGATATCATAAGGACCGCTTAGAACCTAAGAACTGCCTTAGAGTTAGAGTTAAGAATTAAAAAATATACATATAACCAAAGGCATGAAATATGTATGCACTCTCGTTTAATCGATGAAGGTCTTAAACTGCTGTACATACATTAATATTTCCTTAATAATGTCTTTTTTTTAAGTAAATATTTCGGGACATATTTTTACGCAACATTATCTAGTCCCAAACTAAGAAAAGCTTGTAGTGTGGATACTATATAACTGATAAACGTACTAAAACGTACTTTTCTTTCTTAAATAAATACATATTATAGATCCATCCATCCAAAAACTAGAAATGGTGAATGAAACACTATGGTCATCACACAATATTTTTCCAGTAGCGGGGATCGAACCCACACCCTCTGGCGCAAGAGACCGGGTCCACTATCCACTACGCCAACTGTTTCGTCAAATGTCTCACGAAGGTTTTACTAACATGCAGAATATGCTCTTACATTTTCTCCGGTCCGTGTTAAAAACGCACCACAGCCTTTAGTTAATTTTACATGTATATCATTTATACATAACTTGCAGCCAAGAAAGGATTTACATTTTATAGTTAGAATATACCTATAAAATAATTGAGCGGTTTAGGAGTTTGTATTATTTAATGTTTTTTTTTAAATTAATCCAGTAACATTATAAGGCAAAAAAATAAAACAAAGTAAATGTCTAAAAATAAAAAATTGCTTGGTTCACCTTGACTCCTGGCCAGCTGTTGCACCGCATCCCCTCGGCGCACGCTTCCTGCATGACGTACGCGCCCTCAGCGTCGCACATGAATAGGACCTGGGGCCGGCGCGCCTGTAGATCCGACAGGACATCGTATATAAGCCTTCTTTACGACTCCACTTGAGGCAAACTTGAAGAGGTTGAATTCTAACTAAGCGCATTCTAATGAGGTTACGGTGTATTCTTTTTTTTATGGAGAAAAGGGGGCAAACGAGCAGGAGGCTCACGTGATGGTAAATGATCCTTTCCGTCACTACATCCTGATTTATAAATTCCTTTTATTTTTATTCTTTGTTTTACTTTAGCTCATTATTTTTTTTCGTCTTGTAATTACTCTTAGGTTATTTAATTGCTTTGCTTATTTTTTTTTTATTTTTTTTTTAGTTTGTTATTTTGTAATTATAAACATTGTAACCAAATGTAGTGTGTGCAGATGAAGTGTCGGATTAAATGTCTTAATGATCACCACCGCCCATGGACACCTGCAACACCCGAGGGCTTAGAAACGCGTTGCCGGCATTTTAGGAAGAGTATGCTCTCTTCTTGAAGGTCCCCAGGTCGTAACGGTTCGGAAAGACAGCCGGCGGCAGCTGATACCACAGAGTTATTCGAGGCAGGAAATGCCTTGAGAATCGCGCGAAATTCATATGCACGCGACTGATGACGACTCGGTTGCGCAGTTGCTGAGCTGTTGGCTCCGGCGGCGGGGGTCGTGGGTTCGATTCCCACACGGGACAAGCATTTGTGTTTGTTCCCAAAGTGGGTTGACGTCAGGCGGGCGGTCGTAAAAAACCACTACATGATCCACATATTGTTCCGACCCCTAACTGGGATTAGGGCAAGGGGGTGTTGATGTCTGTGGTAGAGCCACGCAACATCTGCTATTGCACGAATGGGGAACCTCGTCCGGATACCACGGCCTCACAGAAGACCAGGGCGAAGAGGAAGTATTATACTTTCGCGTTTCGTCTGGCGGGTGAGATAGACGGAGTCTATTAAAAGGTGACAACGCATCTGCAGCCATACGGGCGTTGCAAATGTCAATAGGCGGCGGCTATCCCTTAGCATCGGGTGTAACGCCGGCTCGCTTGCATCTTCGCACAAAAATAATCTAGTGAAAATTGAGAAACCAATTCGAATCAAACATGGGCGGAGACACGGGTGAAGGATAACATAAACGTTTACGGTCGCCTGACTCCAACAGTGGGGTCAGGGTTCGGAATCCATTAGGGATCGTTAAAACACGCAACGCGCCGACAAAAGTGCATAATTTCAACGGCATTTTCGAAGTGACGGTTAAGTGATCACTGTAGTTACTGCGCATGTTGGCGCGAATATTTCAAGCCGTTGGAACTATAATTTAGTCGCCAGATGGACGTTATGCTGAGAGGAATACCAGGTTTTATAAAGCGAAAAACTCCACAAATTATGGACATATATTAATTCTTGGTAAATGACTGCTTCATTGAGTATGGAGGCCGCTCAATTGTGGTCTCCCCATTTTCTCTGATTCTTTTATGTACCTAAGAAGACGACAAGCGAGCTAGCGGTTCACCTGATGTTAAGTGGTAACCGCCGCTCATGGACATTTGTAACACCCAATCGATATTGGGCGTTACAAATGTCCACCCTACTAAACCCTACGGTTTACATGTGCTCTGCAACCTTTCAATTAAGCGGACCCTGGTTACCTTACTCACCAGACGAAACGCAGAAGTATCACTTCCACTTCGCGCCGATCTTCTGTGAGGTCTGACTTCCCCGGACGTACCTACCCAATCGTGCTACAGCGAAGACTGCGTCTTGGCCATATTGAATGAAACAGCTGACTTCTTCACGTTAACTGGAATTTCGCAAACCAACGAGCGGTTCACCTGACTATACGCGAACATCATCACCGATCAACCGACCAGCGATCGATTCGCAAATAAAATCGCAATTAATTCGCCGCGCGCGTGAGAGAGTAAGAGAAACTGCTGTGTCTCTCGGTCTTCTTGAGGCAGGGGTTCTCCAGCCGGCCCTGATCAATAGCAGTAGCCCAGGGTCATGCTTACATCGTGTCGCTCCGTGTAAGGCACCGCCAGCAGCAGAGAGTAGAACAGCGCACTCAGAACGAGACATAGAGCTGTGACGGTGCGCAGTAAGCGGCTTGATCCGCTGGGGCTGGTATTACCGCCGGTGGAGCCCCGTCCCACAGACAATCTGAAAACGAGACAGCGCCTCTTAAACGCCCTAAATCTAAGCACCAAATGAAATACGAAACATCCTGTAGTTCGATCTCGCCTGCGTACACGAGATAACAAACATTAGCTGCACCAGATTTCCAGTAAGATCAGTCACACACAGTCTAGAAGTTGTGATACGATCACTCAGCATTGAACGCACAAGCGACTTGGATCAAAACAGATCAGACGTGTACGTGCGTTGCATAACATGTCTAGATAATGGTATTATATAAAACATTTAAAAAATATCTTATTAAAACATCATTGCGTCTAGATTACAACAAGTTCGCGGAATTGTTACTAATTTCGCTGTTAAAGTCAATTGTAATTCCCGGTCATCAGTGAAACTTTCGACTATTAGGGTGGAAACTAAAAACATCATCCAATATTACTAGACTAGAATTATTATAGCTGTGTTTTTAGTAAAGTTTTCACTTTTCAATACACTTTCTAGAGCATGATTATAGAGCGAAATTAACAAATGTTGTTGTAATTTACCAAAATCAGGTGGATGTATTCACTGCATGAATAAATAGGCTTTTATTAAGAGAGGCCGTTAGCAATAGTTGCAGCTGTCGCTAATAGACAGTAATGAAGTATGTTTTACGCAATACCAAATAAAACAAGTTTACGCATCTAACCCAAAAAGGGTGCCAACTTAGTAATAACAATTCATTCATATAACGCTTCTGGCTTATGCAAAAGAACTACACAATGCACGGTTGCTATCAACTTAGTACGTGCCGAATCAAAACTATTAGTCACAGTGGGCTGTTGCGTACCTACTTCAAACAGAAATGGATGTTTTAATTTCCGCATTACTACTTGTATATGAGCATCGCATCTATGTCGGATGACATATCAATTAATGACCGTTCATCTTAAGAGTATTACTTGTTGTTATGGGAACTACCACTTTTTACTGTTTTAAACTAGGTAAAGTGTAGTGAAACGTATTTTAAATTCAAAATTAAATACTCCATCCGAAATATTATAGGTAGTTGAAAATTACACTAAAAGTACTCTATCGTCAACAAATTTGAGAATGATGTCTTTTCTCAACTAGACACAAAAACTAGTTCAATGAGAACGAATTTTCTTCTCTATTATCTTAAAAATATAAATAAAAAATTAAATAAGATGGCGCAACTCTTTCTTTATAATTATAAGTATATCGCGTATTTTGTTTAATACAACGTCTTTGCATCTTTGAGAAACAGTTCGAATTGTCCAAATAACCTTGCGATCTCATAGCACTAGGAAAGTCCGTAGGGATTTGGAAAGAAAAGCGACCAGCCACTTTTACTAGGATTTTATTAGGCCAAGTTCTCGTAAACACGACTGCAGTTGGACATTTCCCTACTACAAGTCGATAGACCGTGTAGCGATACGCAAAAACGAATGCAAACCAGCGATATCGCCTTACCTTGGCCACGGAGTGACCGCAATAAAAACACTGTAGCCTCTATTGAGCGATCAATGGAGCAAACGTAACGTTAAGTGCTGCGAAGCAAAAAAAGCAGTGTACTGTTTCATTATGTTATTGTCATGTGTACGCAACGTCAGATTCGAGATGCGTGGAAGTGTTGGCTGTGTCTTAAATTATTATATAGTGTACACAAACAACAACAAGAGTAAAAAGATAGCCATATTGGGTACTCTAAATAACCGACCATGAATGACGCTGGAATGCTGTTGATTCTTTTTTTTCTTTTATGTAAAGTTGCTAAACGAGCAGACGGTTCACCTGATGGTAAGTGAATACCGCCGCTCATGGACATCTGCCACACCTGAGGGTTACAGATGCGTTGAAAACCTTATAAAAATTGGGCTCCAGCTACCTCACTCCCCAGACGAAACGCGAAAGTATTTGTCATACTTCCACTTTACTCTGGTCTTCTGTGAAGTCGTGGTACTTACCCGGACGAGCCTGCCCATTCGTGCAACAGCCGAGGCTGCTGCGTGGCCCTACCCCCGTAAAATTCGGCGTAATAAAATCTTAAATGTAACGGCCTTCAAATATTTCGATAATCTTGGATTTAATTTCGACAAAGTTGCAACTAGCATCGCTTCTACATCGACCCAACTCCTAAACTTTTTGGTGCTTTCCATGTTCTAAATTTCTCGAGCTTTAAGTGAAATTACTTTTTTATACCTATTCAAGATTCAATAAATACCGATTTTTTTTTAATTTTTAGTGAACTGTTGTATGATTAGGTAATTAAAATCACAAAACACAAATTCACATTGCAAAAGACCTGATTATTGTATTTCTGACAACTTAAACCGACAGTTTTTTTTTTTAATAGAGTTTTATTTTGCGCGACAAAAATGTTTAACAGAGATCAATAGAAATATAAATTATACCAAAATAACATCGCCAGCGTCAATGACAAAACACGCGACATTAGAATGTCAGTAAAGCGTACCTATGAATTTTCCTTCATCCAAAAATGCCCAACGTAAGTTTTCACTTCAAACATACTTACGAATACACATACACACGGTAGAGATATATGATTGTTATTGCGATATTTCTCTTGCGATTCTTTCTTGAAAGAGTAATGAGCAAAAGTTATACTCAGAGGAAGTAACAAAAAAAAGCGTATTAATTTTTCCATGTAGATGTATCAAAAAGTGGTCATACCTCTCCAGTCGAAGCAACATAAATGCATCAAAAGCTGCTAATTTAAGTGAAAATCCCGTATACCTCTGTGTACAAAGACTGCTCTCAGTCCGCTACACTCACTTGTCAATGAGGGGTCCCAGAATCGCTGGTCCAAGTAAGGCGATGCAAGGCGTCACAGCAGATATAAGACGCGCTTCGGCTTTGTCCAGACCAATCGCCAGCATATGCAGCGGCAGGAACGGGTATATGCATCCTATGCCTGTAACAAGGTTAGACTACAATCATTGTTTTTCAATCAAATGTTAACTGTGGTAGGGACACGCAACACTTCTCTGGTGCATGAATAGGCAGGTCAGTCCGGGTGAGTACCACGAACTCACAAAAGAGGTGAGAGAACGTCTGGGGTGGCCAGGGCCCTACGTAATAAAAAGGCATCTGCAACCCTTCGAGTATTAAAAATGTCAATCTACTCAGTGTTCTCACTTAACATCAGGTGAACCGCCAACGTTTGCCACCTTCCCACATAAATAAAAAATAAAAATAAATTTAATGTATGTATAATATAAATGTAATATATAATGTAATACATTCTCTAACAATACCCATGGTATTGCTCAGCGTAGTGTTAAGAGAATATCAGATTATGATAACGTAACACATAGATCGTAATATGTTAAACATGCCTGATGCAACAAAATATATCTATCAACAAAATCTAATCAACACAAAATCTATTCTAATGTAGAGCCGACTTTTTGTTCGGTTATACTGCAAAAACTACTGAACCGATCGGAATTATACTTAGACAATAAGATTATTACTACTTATTACTTAGAACGTTTTAGTATGTGACATGTTAGCGATTACTTATCTATATTTTTTGACTTAAAGAAAATGAGAATGAGGGCAGCTCGTAGACCATGTTAGTTGCGATGCAACACTGAAAGTTTTAACGTCACCAAAGATCTACACGGTTACTCTTTTTATTATGCGAAAAGTGGCCAAACGAGCAGACGGGTCACCTGATGTTAAGTGAATACCGCTGCCCATGGACATCTGCTACACCCGAGGGTTACAGATGCGTTGATAACCTTTTGAAAATTGGGCTCCGGCTACCTCACTCACCAGACGAAACTACTTAAGAGCTGTCGGACTTTGAATTGAAATAAAACAAACTTTCCAATCAATATTGCTACATTTTTTTTATTTTTCATGACATTCAATGACATTATGGATGGACTATGACTTCGCCCTACAGAAAATGTTATCACGCAAGATATGGTGACACTTTCTCAAGTACTATCCGGTTTTGCAAAATAATGTAAGACCATTGACGAATATCGTTGCCATTCGGGATAGTGAGTGAGAAAACCCCAGCGGTGCATAGCCACATGTTTCTGAGATCGATACTTAGGACACATTTTAGGGTTCTGTACCCAAAGGGTAAAAGGGACCCTATTACTGAGACTCCGCTGTCTCTCTATCCATCTGTCCGTCCGTCTGTCTGTCCGTGACAGAGCAGGCTCATGAACCGTGGTAGTAAGACAGTTGACATTTTTATAAATGGTATAACAACAAAAACCCGATATAACTAAGTGGGGTCCCCATACAACAGATATAATTTTTTTTGTGTTTCATTTAGATAATTGTGAGGCTGGCCGGTTTTCTTATTTTATTATCGTCCGACGTAGGTTACCGCCGGGGTTCGAACGGGAACGACATTCTTCAAGGATCGTACGTTTCTGTGACCTGTATAATCTGCTTCATCGACTGCCGCCCCAGTTGACTCATTATACATTAAACGGCGGATTGTGGCTTGCACAGTACGGCCGGGAATGCTATAAACTGGTTGGGAAAATTAACAGAAGACGGAAGAAAGGTACTGATTATTATAAAAGGAGCCTCCTTTCGTAGATATTCATCATCATCATCATTTCAGCCTGTTTGAGTCCACTGCTGAACATAGGCCTCCCCCACGGACTGCCACTAAGCACGGTCCTGTGCCACCTGCGCCCATCGTAGATATTAAATGTAAATATTTACGGATATTATCGCGTTTTAAATTAGATTTTTAATTTCCGCACGTTTTAAACGCTTTCCAGCGTTCATGGTCACGGGACAGGCTCCCTTTTCGCAGTGTTAAATTTCACGGTCAATGTGTGCGAAGCTTAGCCACTTCCCCGCACATTATTATTATCGCATTCCACGTATTTGGACTAAATCAATCGGGAACAGAAAATCTTTATCTTTTGTGTTAGTTTGCCATGAAATGTTCAGGTCATTGATTTAAAAAAAAAGGAGTAAAGTCACCTATATAATTATGTCCCACGGCTGGACAAAGGCCCCCTCTAAAAAATATAACTATTTTTTTTGTTATTATTTCGAAAATTTTGTTAATGACGTTTCACGACGTTTTCTTTCACCGCAGAGCACGTGATAAGTCAGCATTTAAAATAAACAATTTCATTGGTGCTGACACCGGGGATCAAACACACGTTTCTCGAATATATTGAATTAAAGGCGACACTGAGCTATCACGGCTTGATGGATTTCAAAATTCTTCAAAAATTCCATGTTTAAAACGAAAATAGCACGATGTGTAAACGTCGCGTTTGCTCACGACACGAAATCGCTGTACAATCGCTGGAATTAGAGCAATTTTAAATAGCCCGCACAGAATAACGAAATTAACTCAGTAACAGGTGTTATGCTTTGTCGCTCGAGAAACGTTTAATAGCACAATACATCGAAGTTAAAGAAAGATAATCTTCCTAAACATTCACATTTACATATGTAACTTCATAAATAACTGAAGTTCGTAATGGCATGAGACATGATTTAATATTAGTTCTCTCTAAATTTGAGTGTCGTTTGGCGGCGATTAATATTATGGTTTCCAATGCATTAGCGAGTGACATAACAGTATGTCTTCAGTTGAGTCAAATTCCGGAACCTCAGAAGGACTGCGACAGAAATAGGGTCCAGTCCATTCAATTCGTTGTTATCTGTCAATAAACTTATTGACCTTGCGGACCAACAGTCTAAAGTTTCAATATTCAGCCTGTACTGTTGCAAGAATGGACGCGGAATACAAAGGTCTTAACAAATGGAAATGTAAAGTACCGTAAAGTGGCGTAAAATTTAAAATAAATATTTAAACTTTTTCTTTTCATTAGGCGAGTGAGGTAACTGAATCCTTTTTACTTTTGCGAAGTTACGCAGCAGCTTTTGCTTAATAGGCCAGCAACCTATATAGCAGCGTAATGTATCACTATTTTTTGCATTTCGTTTGAACAGTCCCGCCATAGTTATGCTTGGCGACGCAATGCTACGTTTATATAATATGGAAGGACCACACAACAGTCTACGCTATTGCATTAATGTGGCAGGTCCGTTGAGGAAAATACCACGACCTCAAAGAAGACCGACGTGAAGTGGAAGTGTTGGACTTCTGTGTTTAGTCTTTTGAGAGAGGTAACAAAAGCCCACTTTATTAAAAGGTGGCAACGCATCTGCAACTCTACGGCTGTTGCAAATGTCTATGGGTTATCACTTAACATCGGGTGAACCCGTTTGTGAACTCGTTTGCCACCTTCTAACATAAAAAACAACAGGTAGACGGATCGCCGTCAATTACAATCGTGAGAATCGCTTGTTTGTCTGTCACCTTCTTCCATAATATATACATTATGGATTGAGCATAACTGTTACCATTTGAAAGGCGATATGGACATGTTACGCACTCATAAAAACTGGCAACACTGTAAACTGGATTTCAAATCGATGCGGGTCCGCATTGCAGTGTCCCCGGTCGAGGTGAACGTTCCCTAAATCATTCATTACCTGGACCCAAGCTCCCTACAAGGCTTGTTGCGAACGTATATAGCGATTCTCCGTACCTAACCGGTTATTAGGGTTCCGTACCCAAAGGGTAAAACGGGACCCTATTACTAAGACTGCCCTGTCCGTCTGCGTTGTTCGTCTATCACCATGCTGTATCTCATGAACCGTGGTAGTAAGACAGTTGAAATTTTCACAGATGATGTATTTCTGTTGTCGCTATAACATTACATACTAAAGAACAGAATAAAAAAATATTTAAGGCTCTCCCATACAATAGACATGATTTTTGTACTGTTTCTATAGATAATGGTACGGAACCCTCCGTGAGCGCGTCCGACTCGCATGGCAGGTTTTGTATGCCGCTTTTTATTGCCACTGCGAAGTTCACGTCAAAGGAGTGGAAGCAAGCTTATAGATACAAGATGACCGCATGGCCTAGTAATTGGCTCCAAGACGTTAAACCACGGCCACCTAGCTCGATCCAGTTCAGAAAAAAATTGAGCGAAACGCAAAACACCACCAGGTTCGAATTTAGAATCCTCTTTTTTATTTTTATTTTTCAGTCCGGCAACATTGTATACATGCGAGTCGTATCAATGTTTTCAACTGTATTCAAATATTTTAGATATTCATGCCAGACGACTCAATTGAATATCAACATATAATAGTATTTAGTAATATAGCCTTTCATTATTGTTCCTATTTTAGAAAAAGATCTCGTTTATGCCAAAAGCTGATGAATGTACAAGCTATTTACGCGATAATAAGAGATTACTGTGGCTTCGAATAATTAAGTAATAATATTAGAGGTGCACCGAATATGGATTCAAACGGATACGAATTTTCGGTCGAAAGGACAAGGACGGATATGTCATGTATGGATCATGGATAACCTGACACAAGTATAGATAAATACTAGATACTTGTGTCCACACCAGGTACTTTAGTCTTTAAGCATTGAATCTTTAGATACTATGTAAGCATTGTCATCTAAAAAAAAGTACTTGTATCAATTAGTTTTTTTTACCGTCCCCAGAATTTTTTATGAAAGGCCTGACGTCAACCCTCCTTGGGAACAATCCAGATCCGGATCCGGAACAGTTGCGGGTCAAACAAATACGTTTCTCTTGTGGGATTTGAAGCTACGACCCCCTGTTCCGTATCCCATGGCTTAGCAACTGCGCCACTGAGTCATCAGTGACCTGAGATGATGCTCGTATATGAACCGTTATTTAGAAGTAATAAGATACTCAGAACCAAGTTACATAAGATTATACAAATATTTACTGGCTTCATTTCAGTAAAGTAACGAAAAGTCGCTTAATTAACGAAACCTAAAACGCTGAAGCCGTACGGAGTGTTTAGTCATTACTGAGGGGTAAATTTCTGATAAGTCATATATCTTTACGAGAAATGTTTCTATGTCGAAGAGGCAATTTTTTTAAAACACTTACTAAACCTGATCACAATACGCTGTGATTCGGTCTGATATTGAAAGAATAGGAAAATAATCACGGAAAGAACAGGTAATCCAATTCAATATCCAGAAAGAAAACAATGAGAGGAAATTACCAAAATTAAAGCGAAATCGACTATGTTTCGGAAATATCCGGAAAAAGTCAGGCGTATTCGAAAATATTCTTGTATCAGAATTTGATTCAGACGGAAAACTTGTGGTATTTTGAGATAATACAATATAAAATGATGACAAAAGCTGAGTGTCTCATATCATATTCAGTGAAATTTCTATATTGTCAAGAAAGGTATCAGGTACTATTATGTAACACTATATACAAAAGAGCAGATATTTTTTAAATATACAATAAAATAAATACAAATTTAATACTGCGGTATTTCAACGAAAGTATCAATTTGTATAAGAATATTGGCTCACAGTCATTATGAATTGCAAATTTAAATGTTTTCGCCACGATTTTCATCGATTAGAATCATACTTGGCGGTGGAACGTTTGTAACTCACCTGAGAGGAAACAGAAGAGGACACATTTCAGTGTTATTAGGTTTTTGTTGACAAGCTGCGTCATTTTTCTTTCTTTATTCTTGTTGTCGAGTCGCGGTGTAGCTCAGCCCTTGCGCATCTTGTATCTGAAAAAAATATTTAACTGAGAACGCGGAAATTTAAAAGTGTAGTTTTAACTTGTGCAAGAGAAGAGAACTGCGGTAGGGCCACGCAACAGTGTTCGCTGTTGCACGATTGGGCAGGTCCGTCCGGGTAAGTACCACGACCTCACAGAAGACCGGCGTGAAATATAAGTGTTACACTTCTGCGTTTCGTCTGGTAAGTGAGGTAGCCGGGGCCAACTTTATTAAAAGGTGGCAATGCATCTGCAACCCTACCCGCCGCTAATAGCCGCCCAGCTCGTTTGCCACTTTGTAACATAAAAAAAAAACATTCTACAATGTCATCTGACACTATGGCTGAGTAAGCCTTCGAGTCTCGAATGCATGTAATTAGCTAATACGAATAACTGCTGCTGTTGACGATAGAGGTTATTAATACACTATGAAATGTAAGGGGGTCATGGTCAACAGACCACGCGCCCACTTGCTAGTTTGGTGAAGTAACGAATGACACGCGAGTTTTTAAATAGTTGACAGCATTGACGCAATCGCCTTAGTGATCTCATAGGAACAGGTCGAGGGCACTGAATAGGCGGTGGATCTGCCTCGATAAGGCGTCATATTTCTTCATTGGATGGCAAAAATTACGCGGTTCACTTGATGTTAAGTGATAACCTTCCCTCGTGGACACTCACGGCACCCATTAGGTAGCAGTTGCCTTACCAAACTTTCAGAGGAGCCCCGGCTGTCTGACTCTCCAGATGAAATCTAAAGCGTGGATACTTCTGTTTTACGCCGGTCTGTAAGGTCGGCCAGTAAGGTCGTGGTACTCCGAGCTTGCTAATAGTGTAATAGCAGAAGTAGGTGACCCTTCCACAGTGAATGACATCCATTTCTAGATCCAGTACCACCACCCACATTGAGGCTTCAGTCAGAGGTTAGCGAGTATCGTAACATTTTCGCAGACCGGCAAACACCTAGACGGTGTTTGTAAACCAAAGGCAAGTCTACACGCACGTTTTGATAGTAGGTTTTACTGTTTCTTTCACTGATGTTTTTGCTCTTATTCCGTGGACTATTAAAGCTTCATCTAACGCAGAACTGGTGGACCGCGAGTGATTGCAAGTTCACGTATGTGTCATTGATGATAGATTCCAGCCTTAAATTGACTGTTGTGGATCATCTAATCTGCAATTGGGTGCTGTGAGAGGTGACAGCTATGTTATAAGCACGAAACGTATGCCCGGAGTTTATTCTCGGACTGCGAATCATGACGTCATTGTCACTGCGCACTGTGTTTAACTGATTTATGTTGAGGGAGATACGTTAGCAACGGCGGTTAATGAACCGTGTCAATTAAACCAGTTATTCTTATGATAGAAGCACGCACATATAAATTTTGTCGTAATTATGAATGGTGAGTACAGCGCAACTTGAATTGTGAAATTATTTCTACAAATTCTTATATATAATATATAAGAGATTTCCACCGATAATTGACTCATCACGATATCTCTGGAACCATAAGGCGTAGAGACTTGAAAATTGGTAGGAATATTCCTTTCTTACGAAATACCACGAAACAACGTTTGCCGGATCAGCTAGAATAAATTAAAACCATGGTGACCTCGGTTACCTAACCTCGAGTCATCAAATAGTAATTGCCGGTCCGTCTTATTTACACAATCGCTTAAAATTTCCGTTGCAAGTCTTTTTCTCCAGCAAGTTCAATATAACAATCAAGCACAAAAACAAATTATTAATAAAGAAACTAAAACAGACTTCAAATCACACTCTCTATACAATTTCTATTTGATTTTGAGGAGTTCTCTGATCCATCTCCGGAGTCCAAGGTCTAGGAGTCAATGAAATTAACATCGGACAAGGAATACGTCGAGACTGGTATAATCAAAAAAAAATATTTACATTTACGCCAAAACTATACACAACCTTGTGACCCAAAAAAAAGTGTTTGTCCTCTACAAGCTCCTGAAACATTCGTCTGAATAGATGATAGCTTTGCCGAGTTGTTTTGCTTACTTTTGCGAATGTTACTGGAATAAAAAAATTCGTCGCATGTTTGTCCTCTTTACAAATTAGTTATTATATAAAAAATCTTTTTGGATCTTATCGCGTTTAACTTCCCGTTTCCTTGTTCTTAAAATTATATGGAACTTCTTTAAAGTTAAATGTAAACGAATCTAGCTACAAGCCATAAATAAAGATTCACTCAATAATAACAAGTTTGTTATCCACTACTGCATTGAAAATAAGCCATTATAGATAATTCCACATTATCTACTAAACTAAATTTAAAATTATTGAGCTCGTTAAGGAACTTTCACTTGTATCATTTATGAAGGGTACGCAATCAAAGAAGTTTCGAAGATTCTAATAGTCATATTAAAATCTTTTGCAGATGTGACCCGGATATATATTTCATTTCAATTGAATTTGTTAGCAATTTTACTTATCTTCGGCAGTATCCTGTTGGATATAGGCCTCTCTCAAGTATTCATAAACATTGGCAACATTATTGTGCCCTGTGGTACACCTGATTGGGAGCGATCGCACACGGCACGCTATTCGGAGTATCTGGGTTGTCTCGCCGTGGAATAAGCGAGCGCATGAGACTTTCACACGAACAGTCATGGCAGACCGCCAGTGCGATGCGATTTCTCAAAACGTTATTTCGAACCAGTCACTGAATGTAAACAATAACAACTTCAGCGTGTGTCTTGTTACACATTACGCTAATACGTGTGAAAATATCATTTAAATACTTCAGGGACAAACTTAAAATTTCAGAGAGTTAAATCAGAGACTTAAATTATAGTAAGAAAAAATACAGTTTTTGTATATGACATACTTTTTAAAGCTTTTCAATTTGAAATCATTCCAAATATTTGCGGAAATCAAACTTAGCTTCAATTTATGTATTTCACGTCAGTAATATTATTTTTATAATAATATAAAATATACTCCCTTTTTAATATTTTTTATATGTACGGGAACACCACAATTTTTTTTCCCGAAATTTACAAAAACGGCACAATTCATGAAACCTAACGAAGAAAGTGATCCCGTCCACTTTGCAATCAATATATCTATGAAGTTAAAACAACAAACTTGTCAGCTTCCTGTCCTCCAAGCCAAGGGGTGATAAATGCTGTTGTTGTATGTTATGGATGAATATAACATAGCTGCTACTGAGACTTTAAAACAAGTTTATTTTTTGCTAGTAAACAACATTCCGTACCAGACACGTAATTTTCGTCGACATGAGGAGTTGTCACGCGAAATCAAGAAATCGTTTCAATTTGATCAATTGAGTCATTAATAAGGGATGGTTTGTAGTGCGACTTTTTAAAAGCATTAATTGAAGACTCGGTTTATCTGTTTATAGCCTTTGGGAAAATTTGCATGTGCATTTGCAATTTGAAAATAAATCTAAAATAAATACTACGGATACACCAGCGATAGACGATTCGTTTTAGTCTAGTATCTATTCGTCTATCTATCTAATATCTCGAATATAAGTTTTTTTAATTTATAAATTATCAACAAAAAAGTTATCTATCATATTTAAAGAACAGTATTGACTGCCAACAGTGACAATCACCATGTTCAGGGCCTTTAATTTTTTTTACATATAGAAGGAAGAAGTTTATCACATTTTTTAACCGTAAAAATGGGCTTCAACTTACCCTTACCATGTGCTACGTATCTAAAAGTATAGTATGTTAAATGTCATCAGCATTAAAAGCAATTTCGTAAATGCTATCTTTATTAGAAAACTACTGAAGTAACTTTTAAAACCTTTAATCTCTTAGCTAGATTGCGTGTTTGCGAGTAGTTTGATAAAATCGCCACAGTTGCTCGTAGGACATTTAATGGTTGTTTTTCAGTGATTGAGAAGCTATAGTTAGAAAACACTGAAGTTTTTGCAGTTTTGGTACAGAATATACGTCTAGTCAATTCTTTTTCATAGACAGTTAAATGAAGACACTATTAAATGCATAAAATCCATAGGCAACTATAGTCCAACAATCTTTATAGTAACAAACTGGATCATTAGATAGATTATTTATAGAACATATTTTTTTTCTCTTTCTCTTTTTCGATCGAACAGCCCCAATATATCAGCTTTGAATGAGTTTTGTTACGTCAATTCCTTATTGAGTTTATCCGCAATAGGTCTTATATATCGTGCCAAAAATCAACGGCGTGCAGTCGAATTTAACAGACGCTGTAACATACAATGAACAAGAATTGAAAGACGAATCTGGCGACCGTGATAGGACTTTTAATCCTTATTGAAGAAAAAGAAGAAGATTCTTTGTTCCCGCACACGTTATCTACCGGGATACCGAAACCAGCAGTCAGCAGCATCGCAGTACGTAATCTACGTGTTCAGCACCGCCTGTCTGCCTATGAACATCGGTCATCCAATCTACACAATCAAGATCTCCAGCGCACGACGCAGTCAGCAGCACAGCAGCACGTGAACGACGTGTTCAGCACCGCCTGTCTGCCTACTAAGCTGAGATTAACTTCCACGCGATCAAGATCTACTGAGCCAGCGGCCAGCAGTCAGCAGCATTGCAGCACAGAAACACCGTGCTCAGCACCGCCTGTCTGCCTATCAAACTGTGAGTCCGTTCCTATCTACTTCCTAGTACAACTCCTCTTTTATTTTGAAGTCAATGAAGTTAGTTCCTCGATTTGTGCTTAAATCGGCATTAAAAAGCTAATTTCACAAACGCGCGAATAAGATTTTGCTAGCTTTCATCGCATATCACAATTATCTCACATACAGCTACCTACTACTTATTTGCAAACAACAAAAAACAAACGTCATTAGCAAATAGCATTATAAACTCAATCTTTATCTTCCTTCTCCGCAGAGTAAAACGATTTGAAGGTACATACATATCGTATCACTTTCAATCTTAAACGACCTACATTCAAATTTGTACATTCGCACTGACCTTCCAACAGTAACGGACTCACATTCGAATCCAAACTTAATTGTTTTAGTTGAAATTATATTAATATAACACGTTCAGAAGCATTATTTCTTTATCCTTGTTCTATCCTGAACAAGAACTGGCGGAAGACGGAAGCCATGTCGGTGTCGTAAGAAGCGTTCACGGAATCGAGAATTGTGCCACGGAGGCGTTACTATACCCACTTTAAATCAGATAAGTACTCAGTAACGGATGTTAAATCAGCGGAGTATCCTTACAGTCACGATTGCTGGTGTTAAACAAATTGCCATAATACGCACCATTCTGTTCACCATTCGACACTACTGTCCTCCTTGTCGCATCGGACAAGGTCGAACCTGGCTTTAAAATCAGTTATGCGCCCGAATGTGGCTAGCAAAGACGTATTTGAATTTGATGGCCCCAGTACAAAACATAAAATCGTTTGATACAATACACGGCAGTTATTGGTTTTTTTTCTAACTCAAAATTCGAGAAAACAATATTTTTTAAAATGTTCAAGTTTAACCTGGTTACGACACTGGTTACATAAAAACAGTCGAAAAGGGTAGGAACTACTTAGAACATGCTAGTCTTTTTAATTTTATTTAATTGCAAACAAGATTATTTATTCCTACCTCAAACACATTTGACTACTACAGGAATTCGTCTCGTCCGTTACCGTTCATTTCCTTGACAAAAATAATAGCGAAATGAATGTTCTTTTTTTGAAACCGCACAATTGAATCCAACGATTCAAATTGTGAATTTAATTAATTTTCGGCCAATTAGCCGTTATATTAGTGTGGCCGTACGTATTCAAAGCGTGTGACGTTACGCGTACCAAAACTGAAGCTTGAATTGGCCCGCTGGTCCGAGCTGATACCACGGCTTACTGGAACGGGGTAAATTAGAAACATCTCCATAGAGATGGGTCGTATCGCTTTTTCTGAGTACCGTATCTGAATCAGATATCGATTTCAAATATCAGATTTCGAAACTATGTATTTTAATATCTAGATATTTTACGGTCCCGTATCCACCTTGAATTCTAAAAAAAAAAATAAAGAGTATTTAAAAGTTGATTCATTCTATGTACATAATTTTCCTGTTATTTAAAACTTAACTTATTTACAATGATGTGTGGGTTAATAATTATTTAGATTCCTCCGGGTTTAAATTCACGTTTACGAACGTAAGCTGTTTGACTTTAATCGTCGAAAGTCTTGTTCGACGATCGTTATACCTATACATAACTAAAGCTATTACCAGTGATACCAACTGTTCAAAAAGAATATGTACTTCTAAATAAATTCGAAAACCCACTAAAATTGACTAAATTCAAAAAACTTACTGAATTTAAAATCACGATTTTTTTATACTATTAAGGTAAAATTAAAACATTACCTGATAAAATTAAAAATTTCATTAAAAATAGAAATTGAAGTAATATAAAAATGATTTATTTTAACATCTTATATATCGCTTAATAATTGACTTTAACATATTTTTAAAACACGCAATCATGAGTGACAATATCTTTATAATTTGTGTAAGAAATAATACATTCAGTATTATAACTTAGGGCGGAAGAATTTAAAATATACACACAAAGCACATAAGCATTGGTCTGATTTAGACCCAAGCAGCACAACACTATTAAATTATATTTTTCTTTTTGTGTACTTTTATTTTTTTCCAAATATATGAATAAAATTTAACTGATAAAAATATTCACAAAAAATTTACCTCCTAAAAAATTTCCATTTATATTTTTCTCCCTTAATTTAGGCAGAAAATTCTTAAGTAGTAAGTTGGCATCCCTTACTATTACGTGCTAGGTACCAATGCAATCCAGCTCAAGACTAAACAAAATTTAAAGACATCGTTAATACCGTAATTCGTATTTAAATGCAACAGAGATTTTTTTCCATGCTGTTAAGATTCAAAATTACTTAACTGCGCGCTTTGTCGCCCGTTACGGCTCAAGGCTAAACAAAACAATAGAAATATAATAATATCGTTGTAGTAATCTTTGATACCATGATTAGTATTTAATTAAAACGGATCTTATTTGCATGGTGTTAAGATTCAAAATTACTTAACTTATTCATAATATCTGTTTAAAAATCTGATATTGTGCCTTGCTTGCCGTACTGCTCTAACTAGTGTAATATTTGTATCTCACGCGCTTTGTCGCTCAAAATCTGTTTAAAAATCTGATATCGTGCATTGCTTGCCGTCCCGCTCTAACTAGTGAGTATTTATATCTCACGCGCTTTGTCGCTCGATATCTGATATCGTGCATTGCTTGCCGTCCCGCTCTAATTAGTGAGTATTTATATCTCACGCGCTTTGTCGCTCGAAATCTGTTTAAAAATCAGATATTGTGGGAAACGCGTATGATATCGCGATTCGTGTCGGTATAGCGAGCGAGCACGGTACATCAGATTTCGGAAATATCAGATATTGTAAAATACATAGATATTGAACGAGCCAGTAAGCGATATTCAGATATTGTACTAATATCTAGTTTTCATATCTGATACGATTTGTATCGCCCACTTCTACATCTCCAATTTGCGTTTTGTAATTGGCGCCTACTCCAACTGTTGGCGGCGGTAATCATCGTAAAGCGGACCGTCTGCTCGTTGCCACATTATCTAACATAAAATAAAATAACATGCAACGGAGCCATTCTAAAAAAACAGGCCAAGTGCGAGTCGGACTCGCGCACGAAAGGTTCTGTACTATTATCCTTACTAATATTATAAAGTCGAAAGTTTGTATGTATGGATGGATGTTTGTTACTCTTTCACGCAAATACTACTCAATGGATTTTAAGGGAACTTTACAATAATATAGCTTATATATCAGAATGAGTCATAGACTATACAGCTTACTCTACGCAGACATAGTCGCGGGCAGCAGCTAGTCTATAATAGCGGCAAAAAATCATGTCCGTTGTACGGGAATCCCACTCAAATATTTTTTTAATTACGTTTTTTAGTATTTGTTGTTAAAGCGGCAACAGAAATACATCATCTGTGAAAATTTCAACTGTCTAACTATCACGGCTCATGAGATACACAGCCTGGTGACAGTCAGACGGACGGACAGACTGACAGCAGGAGTCTTAGTAATGGGGTCCCGTTATACCCTTTGGATACGGAACCTTAAAAACAATTACGCCGGAGCCGCGCGGCCGGGAGCGGTCGATGCCGTCACCGCTATAACCGTCGAAGGTCCGTCGCCAATGCGTGACCGACGACGCGCCTCTGATTATTACACGCATCTGGTTCCCTTTCATTCCGAGATATTTTTTAAGGCACCGCTTAGTAAAAGGCTAAAGGCATTTGGTGAAAGGCGAGGGATTCATACGTGTTGATAGGAAAACAGAGTGAGCCGTGATAGCTCACTGCCCGTCATTTTAATTCAATTCAAGAGTTCTATCCCCGGTAACGATGAAATTGTTAATTTTAGGTGCTGACCTATCACGTGCTCAGCGTTGAGGGAAGACATCGTGAAGAAACCTGCATATTGTCGAAATCATAACACAAAAAAAAGTTCCAAGACATGTGAAGTCCGCCTTAATGCCTTCTGAACGGAGGAGCCCTTTGTCCAGCAGTGGCACAAATATAGGCTGTTACTTTACTTAGATTGCTATACCTGCTAGCTGTAGATGGTAGACGCACTAGCTCAATAAAACCTTAGGAGCTCTTTAAGATTCGTCAAAAAGTATAATAATCTATCGCCGACCTGAGCCTAAGAACCCTTCCCCTAGATGGCCTGTTCCGTGAGAAGCTCGTACTTTGTTCTTGTTTCAAATTTTACGTTGTTTATTTTATTTAAAAATGTATAATTAAAATATATTTTTTTTTTAATATTGGCAACCCAATAATAGCAACCCGCCATGTATATGTATTTTTCGCATATAACAGATGTAACAAATAATGTAAAAAAATAACAATGTAAAAATCTTTTACATTGTTTTTTTTTTTTTGAAACAAAGATTTTAATTGCAAATATTGTAATTATTTTACAAAGAACTGCAAATATACTTGTCTATCAAACTAACTTTCGGCTTATAACTACTACAAATAAGCAGGTGTTGAAGTTCAATTAACAAATAATAATAGTTCCTTACAATGGAATGATTATTTAATACATTGAATTGTCCGTACGCCATTTGGATGCAAGTCACGCGCGCGCGCTTTTTTTAGATAGTATCTTAGTTACCATTGTGACGAAAAAAGCGATCATTATTCACACTTAAAATCGAATAGATTGTTGATAAGTAAAATTTATTAAGTACACTGTCAGACATTTAACTGTGATAAACTAAGCTACTGTTCTGTACTGAGTATCGTTACAGAGATCTGTCAACCGGTGTTAAACTTTTACAAACCAAAAAAAATTTTCTACTTCAATAATGACAAATTTTAGTATTCTTGTATTATTTGCAAGTACTACGATATACTGTTATGCAGGTATACGAAACGCAGGTAATTACTACTTATTATTCGTTTTACAGAGTTGAAATGCAGATTCGAAATGAAGTTGCTTTACAACACACGTAAAAAATTTCATCGCTATGGAACAGTTTAAGACGGAGTTTATAGACGCAGTGCTCCGTTGGATTTCAAGTTTTTTCAAGATTTTAATTACAGTTACGCTTGATATTGGTGATCGTAACCCAAAAACTTCCAATATAATGAATTCCGAAGAAAACTTTATTAACTTA